AAACATGTTATGTTTGCCAACGTTTTACGTGGATACAGGTGAAAAAACAACTTTGTTCTTATGAAGTGGTGTTACACCACCCAAGTGTGTGAGGGGCAGTAGCACTCGAATACATATTCAACCAAGTCAAACTCTTTGTGGGCCTGTCCGAATAGTCTTTAATTCTGTTGTTGTCGTCGGTTGCTGTCTGTTATATATTCTTTTTTCGTTTATTGTTTATCAAAAAAGGGCGACAATTTGATATTTTGCGCGTGGGATAGGAGTGGCAGACGGGTTTTGAAAATGAAAAATCTGACCAGCTATAAGTAATAAAAATAGTATTAAAAGAACCACTCAAAGGAAAAACGAAAGAAACACTAAAATACCAACAAGTGAAATGTACTGTTGTTTTCCCCGTCTCTCCTGTTAAAGATAAAACCAGAAAAGTGCTTCTGACGGAATTAAGTGATAAAGTTTTCCAATTTTGCCATTCGGGGTCTATTCAGTGTGGGTTTTACTCATTTGTTAAGGCTCTACGGTTACCTATAGTTGCTTATATCGACGTTATTTGGTCTTTGATAGATTGTTATTGGCAATCATACGTCCTCTTCTTACTTTTATCCCTATCAATTAAGGCGTGATCTTCAATAATTTGCCAAAGTATGGTTACTTAATATCTTCTTTTGCTTCCTGGTGACTTATCATCATCTTATCCCAAATTTAAAGCGTGAACTTAATTGATCTAAATAAGATGTTACAGATTATCATCCTGTATGTTCGTGTAATATTGGCTGATGGACCTTAGTCATCAATTCTAATTGTCTTCGATTACTAACCTTTCAAAAGTTAAAAGTATAGATCATGCACCCTAGTTGTTAAGATGAAGTCTTTCCATTCGTCGACTTTATCTCCGATATAAATACGATTTATCTGATAACCGATGTGTATTCTTTAACAGCCAGACTAGTCTTCTTATCAGTTAAGTAGTAACCTCCCTTGTTAATGTGATATAGTAAACATTGAAAATATGATTTCAACAAACATGTTCAATACTTGAAAAAAAAATACATGCAGTGACATTTTTTGGTTAAAATACATATATATGGTTGCATATAATTTCTGTAATGCTTTTTATACGCCCGTTTACGGGACGTATTATGGTATACCGTTGTCCGTCTGTCCGTCGTCAACATGTCGGACATTAACTCAAAAATGCTTTAACCAATTTGCATAAAACTTTGGTGAATTGTTTATATCTATTGACGTGAGCTCCCTTTCGTTTTTTATAACATTTAGATTTTACGTTTCCGAGTTATGGGGTTTTATTCATTAAAAAAAGGGGGATTTTCTAGTTTTCGGACAATAAGTCAAGAATGCTTTCACCAACTTGCAAGAAATTGTGGTGAATTTTTTATATCTATTGAAATGAGCTCCCTTTCGATTTTTATAAATTTTAGACTTTACGTTTCCGAGTTAAAGGGTTTTGTTCATAAAAAAAGGGGGGGTTTTCCAGTTTTCGGACAAAAACTCAAACATGCTTTCAGCAATTCTTATGGAACTTTGGTGAATTGTTTGTATGTATTGATGTAAGCTCCCTTTAGAATTTTATAAATTTTACATTTTACATTTCTGAGTTATGGGGTTTTATTCATTAAAAAAAGTGGGCGATTTTCCAGTTTTCGGACAATAACTAAAAAAATGCTGTCACCAATTCTCATGAAACTTTGGTGAATTTTTTATATATATTGATGTAAGCTCCCTTTTTATTTTCATAAATTTTTAATATGACATTGAGAATTAATTGAACTTTATTTGTTTATAGTCTGACAACATATTTACTAAGTATTGCACAACAGCAAGAAATCTTTAATTGAATATAAATTCAATTCATATAATCAATTTCAAGTTCTTTGACTACATTTATTAAGAAACCTATAATATGTCAAATATTTAATTACAATCCAAATTCAGACCTGAATCAAGCTTGAAAAATTGTGTCCATTTTTGCCCCAACTGTTCAGGGTTGGACCTCTACGCTCAGCGAAGCAGTTTATTTTAAAGTAGGTCTGGCAAAAAGTTGAAAGGACTGGCAAAAAGTTAATAGGAATGGCAAAACTGTCTTACAGGATCTAATGTTCACAAGTACTACTTAAAAATCTAAAAACTTTTGAGAGAAAATACAAAACTGGCTGAACAGTTAAACAAACGAGACTCAAATTAAAAGAACAGTTGCTCATCAAGGCATAAACCAAATAAAACAGCCATCACATATACATATATATATATAGAAAGAAACATATTTGAATCATGGATTGACATCTTGGTTTGATATAACTTCATTATACATTTTTTGTAACATGCCTAAATTCAATATATTGATGATGAAAAAATCCAATACATTAAAGAGTTTGGTGCTGAAAAACCCAATTTGATATTTGCTTGAAGCGTGAATTTAGTTAATAATGCAATTGAAAAAAACTCTCACTCATTACATTATTTGGTAAAAACCCCAATTTGTGAATTCTTGCGTGGAGCTCTGTATATATGCTAAATCTGATTAGTTCAGTTTGTGGGGAACCAGTACTGGTAAGTCAATAATATGTGGTGTGTTGTACATGTATCAGAATAACAACATCTCATCAATGGGGATTAGTTGGTCAACCACCTTAGTCATGGTTGTCATGGTCTATTGGCATGTTACAGCTTAAAATTAAAAGGCCAAACCTCAGAAAATAACAATAAGACCTATTAATATTCTGGTGTAAGAAGTTCATCCTTCATTTAAATAAATGCCACGAGGATTATTATTAATTTACATGTAAAACAATTCTAGAGGTCAATACACAATCTCAAGCAATAGACAAAATACAAAACTAAAAGTACAGCCGATTACTGAAGTGTATTATTACAAGTATTTGCAAGACTTAAAATATTATATTTTTCACATTTTTTTAGCATTGGGGTCAACCTAACATTTTATAAAACTTGGATTTCATTGTGGCTAGCTATATATATAGTCTAAAAAAAACATCAATTACAAAAGCCAATACTATTGTGGCATTAATTTGAGAACAATAAAAAAGATGTATATTTTAGGGATATATAATTGGTCATACAATAACATGTAGATTTGAAATTTTATTTTTATTGTGAAGTCAGATGTGAATGTCCACTTCAGAAATAGGGGTTGGTTAAAGACTGGATGTCAATCAGAGTTTTATATATGTATATATTGATTCAGTTGTGATGGTAAATAGACACTGATAGATAAGTCTGATAACTTTTTATAGTTTTATTGTTTGGTCACCTATAGCTATTTACAATGATTATGTGGAAATATGATCTTATTTCAAAAAGAGGGCAACTCGGCAAATATCATTATATTAGTGCATGAACTAATTGCTAGAAACTGAATGTTTTTACCACAACTTTGTATGTTTCAACTGGGATATTTATATGTACATACATGTATAATATAAACAAAAAACATGTCTTTTTCAGGACTTCTGATCCATGTTTGGCATGTTGGTGGTTATTGGAAGGGTGAATGTTCATGACAGTCCTCTATTACAAAGTATATCACTGGATTTAGCTTTTTGTCCAAGTGTATTATTAAAGTGCTTTGCTTTGAGCTCAGTTCATTGTTATGCAAATGCATTCTTTGTGAAATGAAGATTTGACAGACAACTCACATCTGCACATGATCTGCTGCAAGGTAATATGATTTAAACTGTCAGCAAAAGGAGTTGTACCATCCATTCAATGTTACAATTTATGGGGAGATTAAATCATTTTATTTGCACTTGAGCCAAACATTTTTTTGTCCATAAGCCAAATAAAAAAAGCACAAATTTACCAAACAATGATACTCCTGCTACTAAAAATATGATGCTACATGTAGGTGGTTTTGTAACACTTTTTTTAACATCTGTGATGCATGCTGATGAGTCCTGAGTGTAAAAGATCTTTCATTATACATACCGGTAATGTTCCTAAGTATAAATTATATTTTTTTTATCCTTTTGTCCTTCAATCCTGTTCATACATGTATCTAAAAGAATTTTAATCAGTTTGTAGGAGTTATGAGCATCTGTATTGGAATCTTCCATATCTGGTATATTATCGTTACTATCAAACCATAATTATATATCTTTAATTTCCACATTTAAACAAAAACTTTTACTAATGATACTGGGAAGATCCTGAACAAATTTTTATTTTTTTTTGTGGAGAAACCCAAGTAAGAAATGACCACCTCAAAGGAACATAAATAGAACCATACAAATATTACATGCATACTACAATCACATCATGCAGAATTGCACCTAATGTGGTCCTCCTCTATTTCTAAGTTTTTGCTGCTATCCCAAATCAAAATTTTAAACTTATTTGATTGGAATAATTTGGCAATCCTTCCAAATCTTTTGCTTCTTTACGTAAATCTCTCCAGCGTCGGAGCACACTCAGCTAGCTGTGTTCCCTTAACGGATCATTTATAAAAATGTTACTGTATTCACATAGAAGTTATTTCAAAGTTAAAATGTTGAAAGGAAATCCTCCAATGTAACGTTGCACATGCACAAAATTTATTTACAGGAATGTGCATATTATATACAGGAAGCAATCATAGCACGTTGGCCAATATGTAGATTTGATATTAAAAGCAATGTCTAGCTAAATAAAATCTATGATCGGTCAGCACTGATTTAATGTAGTGTCTCCTTCATGACAGTCTTGATTGACCTGATAATGGTTTACTTTTACAAAGTGTGACTTGGATGGAGAGTTGTCTCATTGGCACTCGTAACACATCTTCTTATATATATTGAACAGTAAAACGCAATATTGAATATAAGACTGCTATTTTCAGTGTTTGGTACAGGTTGACTGTCACTGGGCACAACAGTTAAACATAGAACCCTATGGGGAAAACCAGAGAACTCTTTTTGTCAGAAAACACTGTCAAACATAAACATACTATCCACACTGATCTGTGTCAACACTTGTATAGTAATGAAATATACATATATATATATATATTTACCATCATTATAGTATATTTCATTGTATAATTTAAATTTGGAATCCAGGTAATGTTTAAATATTACAATTTTATTTCTTATTATAGATAAAAACAAGAAAATGTGAAAGTCTTTGTTTAATAATCACCTTATGTCAACGTACAAGTCAGGCGGTGTATTTTGTCTATGTAAAAATTGCCGACTTCATGTAGACATGGTAGATATAGCGCAAATGAAAACGAACTACGTTGACATATTTCAATTTCGATGACTAAGAAACACAATATAAAACCATAGTCATCATAATAAACGTAACATAATTAGAACTATATTCAGAAATTGAAACAAAATGTCGTTTTTCGTTTTTGTTTTGTCATATCAAAATCGAAAAAAGAAAACATTTCCGTTTTTCATTTTTTTGTTTAAGATATCAAAATCGGAAACGAAAACATTTTCGTTTTTTGTTTTTTTGTTTTTGTTTTTCAAAACGAAAAACGAATGGACGCAAATATACACGCACCTTACTTGCCCCCTATATTTTATGATTTGAATAATCTAGAATATGTGTTGATGAGGCAGCAATCATGCAACATAAGAACCCCGCACACAAAACCAAACAAATACAAACACACATAACATAACATATTTCATTTAAATGTAAATTTGTAAATTTGGCAAATAATTATTATCATATATCTATGCACATTTTTAATTCAATTAATTTTTTTTTTAAATTTATCTATGGTGAAAATTATCTTTTTTCCTGCATATTTTCATAACCAACAGGTTATTACTTATTTACAGTTTTATATTTTGAATACAACTCTGATACTTTGTGCGGTTACCAATCCACAGGTTTATAATTTGAACTTTTTGTCGAACCAGCTCTGACACTTTGTCGTTTTGCGTAATAACCACTTTGACGTTTCCATTTTTGAATGTGGTCCTTCTTCTTTCGTTTGAAAAATCCGCACTGAAAGGAAAGTAATTTTTTTTTTACAGTTTTGTGAACCTCATGCCAAAGGAGTATGAGTTCATGAAAAAAAGTCATCAAGACTGCTCATAGCTTAATATTTGATTCTATCATTCTAACACGACAAACCAATGGTAAATTAATTTGGTATTGATCAAACATTTTTAATGCCAGTCAAATGAATACTCTGCGGTATTTTAATTTAAAACTGTGTTTACCTTGACATCCACACAACGTTCGTCAACATTAAACTATTATTCATTAACTTCAAAGTATTCTAAAATTTCTAGTAGCAAAACAATTCTGAAATATCTAGAGTTAACTGTGTTAACGGAAAACTGGGATGATCACTATTTCAAAAACCAAAAGTGTAATGATTTAGATACATCTGAGTACGCTATGGTACTGAAAACTTTTGAAATTAAATACAAGGTTTAATTGAAACGTGGAAATAAATGAGACAACTATCCATTAAAGCTACAACATGTAGAACAAAGAAACAGAAGCAAGTCTTTAGACTTAATGTTTTGTAAGGTTTGATCCTTTGACTTTGGGACAGGACAACACATTTCGTGAATACCATATTAATACTGTAATAGGAATACTTTTTGGTGGCTTTTGCTTGAAAGATACTGAGATATGATGGGTGACAAGATAGTTCAGCAACCCATTATTCATTTCCAAACTATTGATTCAACAACCAATCATTCTGAAAGCAAATTATCACAAAAACTATAACCGGAAGCCCTTGTTTAGATGCAAACTTTAAGTAATTACCTTCCATAAACATATACCGACTAGTATCAAAAGAAGTAATCCACCGACACATCCTCCAACTATAATCCATATATTGACTTTTCCTGATTCTAGTCTCACCTCTCTAGGAAATATTTCACTTGGAACCTGAAAACCATAAATATATTCTGTGCTTAGTGCGAACAAATGGAAAACAAAATGTAATATATACAAAAAAAAACGAAATTTTATTCAAATTCATAAGGGAATTCGTCGCTTGTGCTGTATTGATACAATTAGACGAATTTCCGTGTTCAAAGTGTATGCTAATATGCTTTTGAATTTGCATTACCCTCATGCAAAGATCGTATTTTCTTGCACTATTCATGACATTGCTAGATAATGAAAATTACACTATAAATTTATTGCGTCCAACGCGCTTTTTAGGATGACCCTTCTTCACGAATGCCCAAATTTAAACATAATATTATAACGGCACTAACTATGATTATTATTTGATACGGTATAATTTGTTATTTATTTCTGTTTTTGTAATCTATTATAAAATGAAATAACAAAAATACCGAACTCCAAGGTTAAGTCAAAAAGGGAAAGTCCATAAAAACTGATAAAACCAAAACACTCGACAATATTAACCAACGGAACGAATAGACAACAACTGTCATTTCTGACTTGGTACAGGCATTTTCGGAAAAGAATGGTGTGCTACATTAAGAATGTTCGCTAGTTTGTTTCAAAATAACAAGCTTTTTAAAAGACTGTTATGAATTGATAGTATATAATAAAGAAACTAAGAAGGCAGAAAAAAATGAAGGGTCCGAGTGCTTGTTTTCGAGATATCAGCCATTGAAAATGTGGCGGAAAATAATTCTCTCTAGATTTTTCATGCATTTAACATTGGCACCTTTTTTCTTTCAAAAACGATGAAAAAATAACAAAGATTTTATAAGATTTAAAGATGTCATTTTAAACAAAATGCAATCAAATTTTGGAAAGAAAAGTAGGGGTTAGTGGGCAAAATTTTTAATGGCACTACATGGATAAAACCAGAAGATTCCGAATATCAGGCAAAAATTCAAAAACAGGAGGAGCGAACATCCTTAAGGCGAGAATAATTTACCGAGGTTCAAATCTTGTAAATGGATTAGTAAAAGACAAATCAAGGTAACACAAACTGATAAAATCACATAAACTCCAACAGGTGCGAAACCGGATGCGCCAAACGCGATCCATATAAAATAAAACTGGTTTGAATGGATCGATACAATCACACAAAACCTCAACAAGGAGAGAGACAAGGTACGTCGACAGGGTAAGCGTCTCCTTCTATGCTTGCATCAGCCGACATTCGAATTCACATTCAATCGAAATGTCACAATCGGGAACAGGATGCAATTAGTAAAACTACAAATCAGACTTCTATACTTGTTTTTAAAGATGTAAGACCGCAAAACATGTCACTAGTAAGTTGAGACACATTTAAACCTGATAGTATAGCTAGCTAAACCTCCCAATTATATGACAATTGACTATATTTCCGTTATATTGACAAAAATAGTCTATGCAACCCATAGACATAATTTGTCAGGTTAACAATAATTGAGATCTATCAGCCAACATTGTGTAAACATACAGCATATATATATATATATAAAACGTCTGAATAATAGTCAACGATTTTTCCCACAAGGGCGCTGGATCGTTACGAGAAACGATGCATGTACACAATAAATAAATTATATACACGCCTAAAAAGTGTACACAACAACACCAATAACAAAAAAAAGGAACTATAAATGTAATTATTTATAAATATTTCGGATAACAGATATCCTTCATCAGTAAATATGATTGTGATGTTGAATGAATCATATATCAGTCTACTTAGATTAAACTATAACAATCTTGAAATTTATACAATAAAAAAGGCAAACCGAACATCAGGTAAGACGCTTGCACAATTTTAAATATGTATTAAACACGACATAGGTTATATGACTAACTACAACAGAGAGTTCAACTATATGCTTTGAATAAAAATAATAATGTGCGATATGAACTAGCACAATTCTAAAGCTTTAACGGTGACGACAGTTATGATGTTACAAGAACGATTGCGTCAATAAGAATTTCAAATAAACAGCACTGAACGATCTAAATTTGTAAATATTTCAAATTTGACAACGGTAGAGTAGTTACAACAGAGTCTGCGTATTTAAACATCGCAAACAAACGGCCGTTAAAATATAATAATAAATTTTGACTAAGGTTAACTAGTTAAACGTGGCTTGGTACTTTTAGATCCCTCAAAAAATTAAGCAATTTAAATTGGTATATTCAACAGATTTATTTTAGAGATGAGTAAGGTAAAGAAATAGAAACAGAGACTGTAATAATAAGTAATATAACCCAAATGTGAAGCACTGCATGGAGTCGAACTACATCTTTTCATTTATCCCATTTGGTGCCAAAGTTGTTAATTTTCTTATCCAAAATCTTTCCCGAGCGAGTCTATCCTCCCTAGACCAAGCAGAGTTGTGGTCAATGATTGTAATGGTCAGTCGATTGAGATCTGCCTTAGTGTGGCCAGGGGATCTCAAATGTCGACTGAGAGGGAGGTCTGGCTTGCATTGGTAGTCGCTACGATGACCGTTCATTCGTTTGTGAAACGGCTGTTCTGACTCGCCAACATACTGTTTACCACATTTACACTGTAGGAGATACACAACATTTGTAGTCTTGCAATTAACATTGCAAAATATGGTGTATTCTGTACCAGTGGAGTGACTGTTAAAAGTCTGGGTAACCAGTATTTGTTTGCAAGTCAGACATCGTTTGTTTCCGCAACCCTTGCAAGAGCCCACAGACGGAGAGCCTGCTTGAGAGGATAAATCAGCTCTCACCAGCAAGTCTTTAAGGCTTTTGGGCCTACGGAAAGCCAGTACAGGTGGCTCGGGAAAGATCTTGGATAGTTTAGGATGTTTTTCGATTTCTTTCCAATTTTCACGGATTAGATGAGATAAGTTGTCAAATTTTGGATGGTAAGTCAACACAAAAGGCACCCTCCCGTTGACCTTCTTGGCTTTATATTGTAAAAGTTCATCTCGGCTGATGTTGTTAGCACGAGAAAAACCTTTATGAATGTCTTTTCTTTTGTAGCCCCGATGTTTTAGGTGACCGCGGAGTTCTTGTAGTCGTTTTTTTGCAATATCGTTGGTGGAGCAAATCCTTTTTATTCGTATGGCCTGGCTGTAGGGAATGCTCTGGGTGCAATGTTTAGGGTGACAACTCAAAGGAGATAGATATTGATGTTTGTCTGTGGGCTTGCAATACAGATCTGTAAATATGTTTCCATCCCTCACTTGCGTTGTAGTGTCAAGAAATGTGATCTTAGAGTCAGAGATTTCATATGTAAATTTTATTGAGGGATGGGCATCGTTGGCATGTTGAATGAACAAATTTAGTTCTTGTTCAGTATTATCCCACTTCATTGTCAATATCATCGATAAATCGAAACCAAGAGAGGTTGTATATATATACAAGTCTAAATTGAAAACAACGTTCAAACCTATGATTGCGTTGGATAAAAACCGCAATTTTTATACGTGTGCATGCAAAACAAATTTCTTGTTCGAGGGGTCCAAATACAGCACAAACAACATTTTCCAAAAGACCAAAAAAGTGAAAAAGTATATTTTAACAAAACGCATTTGACTAACAGGTCGAACAACAAATGTTCTTAAACCCTGCCGACTGCCATTGGCGATTGCCAAATAAACGGATCACCAGGTGTAATAAATTGATCTTATTTATAAATTAATACCAAACAGAAAACAATAAACTTGCGGCAAAGATGGTATACCGCAAACAAAAGGTGCAAAGATTTTTGTACACCATATCCGGATTTCGACAATTAATGTCTCGTCAGTGATGTTAGGAATCGAAACGGTATTTGGAAGGCCATATAATTTACCTCAATTTAGGATAGACTCTTGAATTTTGAGGAGTCAAAATAGGATGAACGGATCATATAAACCCGAAGGCAAATATAATTCAAGCCCAAACGGAAAAATATAAACAAGTCTAAATTGAAAACAACGTTCAAACCTATGATTGCGTTGGATAAAAACCGCAATTTTTATGCGTGTGCATGCAAAACAAATTTCTTGTTCGAGGGGTCTAAATATATATATATATAAATTTGTAATAAGCAGACTACATTTCACATCAAATAATAACACTTCGTTAAAATAATGTCACTAGCGCTTTCATGCCTTCTGGCAATCTTCAGGCGACGATTTAACAATGTCCTTGTGTACGTGTAATGAACGTAAGGAAGCACACTTTATAAAGGTCTTTCAGTCAAAATTAAACGGATCTACGTAAACACGTTATATTTATCTCCCCTTACTTTTATTATAACGTAATGAATGTTACCAACGGTAGTGTCGTCATGGACATTGTTAAATCGTCGCCTGAAGATTGCCAGAAGGCATGAAACCGCTAGTGACATTATTTGAACGAACTGTTATTACTGTGGATTCATTATTATTCGTGGGATACCAATTTTCGTGGATTTCGTGGTTACAGGGGAACCACGAATTTAAATGTTCAACGAATTACAAATTTTCTATAGGATTGTATGCAGACTTTGGCAAAACCACGAAATCAAATATCCACGAAACTGCATGTTTTCCTCATTCCACGAAAATTGGTACCCACGAAAATAAATGAATCCACAGTATTTGATGTAAAATGTAGTCTTTGCGAATTACAAATTTTAATATATACATTCTGTACACTGTATTTATTTACTTTTGCTATATACATGTATCATAACCATGATAACTAAATTCAATGGAAAACAACAAACAAAACAGTCGTCGAGGACTGCATTCAAAACTAACATAGACGCCTTAATAAAAGTTGTTGAAATTGATAATAGAACATACTTTTGTATAGGACGTCCATAAGTATGTATAGATAAGGAATGAAGAACTTCAACGTATACATTCCCTGTCCACAAGTTTTACATTTAAACAAAATATAAATTCAGGGATAACTATTGACTTTTGTCCTACTACAAAATTAAAATACAAAGGTTAATAGTGACCCTCTTTCTTATTCAGCGTATTGAACCCTGAGGTTATTTCTTAATACAAACTCATCAATTCCGAAATAAATATTATAAACATAAAAAGATGTGGTACGACTTCTAATGACACAACTATCCACCAGAGTCCAAATGACGTGGACGTAGGCAACTATACCACATATTCTAACCTTGATTTTGTTCATGGCCTTCAACAAAGAGCAAAACCCATACCATATTGACTGTCTTTCTTATACAAAAGAAAACATTTTTGAGGCAAACATTCCCTTTCCTCCTCATACTGAGTAAAGAGTTGCCTGTTTTTAAGTAAAATTCGCTAACAAGAGTTTTGATCTGTCAGTACTAGCAATATTTTGCAAAAAAAAAATCTGTTCCAAAAAGAATATCGGTTTATTTCATAACAAAACTAGACCACTCATTTTATATACTACAAAAAACCTATTACATCCAAGACTTTTAACCACAAGAGTATAAGACCTTCAAGGGTATAGCTATCTTGTTCATCGTCCCATACAAATATTGTCCCTTGGTCATGTTATTATTGGAGAACTTGGTATCGTTAACAATGATTAACTAAGAGAGTTGTTAGCCAAGGGCCCGAAATATCTTAAAAATGTAACTGATGAATGCAGTTGAGAAACTACTGTGGATTCATCTATTTTCGTGGGTACCAATTTTCGCGGATTTAGGAAAACAAGAATGTTCGGTGACATATGATTTCGTGGTTTTAACAAAATCTGAATTTATTCCTGTGAAAAGTTTGTGATTCGTTGAACATTTAAATTAATGGTTCTAGCTCTGTATCCTTAAAATCCCCGACAATCGGTATCTTACGAATAATAATGAATCTTTTTTATGCCAGAAAATGGATAAATTAGGCAACAGAAGTTTACAGATGTTAAACTCTCGTACATTGAATATGAAAAGACAAATTAAGGTTAGACAAACTGAGGAAATCGCATCCAATAGGAGCGAGACCGGGTTGGTCAAGCACGTTCCAGATAAACCAAAAATAGACAAGTTATTTGAATGGATCGAAGCAGTTCGGTCATACATTCAGAAGCAAACTACAATGTAACATGAGCACATGGACTTCTAGAAGCCCGAGAATGTGAATGTGCTATCCTCCCTTCACAACAAATACGTTGTTTTAGAAATTCTCAGCAAAACTTGAAATCCTAAATAAACGATATATAGCGGGGTCGTCAAGATGTTCGGCTAAACATCTTACTAAAGTTCTAACTACTATTCGTTCTACAGTAAAATATTGTCTAAAGTATTTTGATGAGGCATATTCCATCAGCTGTGTAAATCAGATGTGGGTTCTAAATAATTCCGAAGATCAGCTCCAAAATCGTCGATCACGATCTTTGTAATTTTGCAGTATTTGTTTTTATTTTTTCTACGCTTTACGCTACTATTCCACATGCTCAATAGAAAGTTTGACTGCATTGTCTTATTAAACAGAGCTTTTTCTACAAAAATTGGTCTCGTAGATAAAAATTCCTAGTTCTAGTTCATAAAAATCTTACCATGTGAAGAACCACACTGATTCCAAAAACAAATACACCGAAAATAATATAATCAAAATGCTGGATTTCTATTGACAACATGTTCGTTTACTTTGTAGGATTAATATTTCAACAGATAGTTGGTATTCCTATGGGTATAATTGTGCATCCCTTCTGGCCAATTTTATTACGTTCTAATGGTATATAACCTCTAATTCGGCCCAGTCGGAAAGAACATACATACAAGAAAGTAGTACATATTTTAAACAAAATAGTTCCTACGCATAGCTGTAAATTTGTCAATAAGTAAAATATTTGGGTAATTTTGGTATCAAATGAAAGCGTAAGGACTTGGGATTACTGAAGAACCCTTGTTAAAAGTTTCGTTTGAATAATAACAAAAATATGAAATTAAGATAGGAGGGCATATTTGCCCTGTTGCTCAGATAAGAGGTACCTGTTTTTGTACTACCCAACTTCTGGGAACCAGTGTGTTCTAATATGAAATTAAAGGTAGGTTGATTTTTTCAGCACAAGTCCGGATAAGGTATAATTTTTACATGAAATGACTACCACTTTATTTAAACTGAAGACAAAATAGCTATGAATGCTTGAAGTTGCAGAATTTAACATAGAAAGCAAGGGAGCTATGAATTAGTGGTGTTATTTCTAATATGAAGGACAATAAAACAGAACCTTCTTATAGACAGAAAGAAAAAAGCATCTTACAAAGTTCTTTGAATTCACTTTCAGATATATTGATGAAGTCCTGTCACTCAATAACCCAAATTTCATTGAATGCTTGCATCTCATATATCAAATTACCTTAAGATGAAGGATACTTTCAAAACTAGATGACCAGTTTCTTATCTCATTTGTTTTCTCGATATGGCACAGATGGACGACTTCAAAGAATAAAATATATGACAAACGTGATAATTTTCAAATTGTCAACTTCCCATTTTGTAGCAGTAATATACCCGCTGTCCAATCTTACGGCGTTTACATATCTCAATTGATACGCTACCCTCGTGCATCGTCACACTTTACGAACTTTATCAACAGGGATGTGCTCCCTACACAAAAATTGTCCAAACAGAAATTTGGGTACGCAGATCTGAAATCGGCACTACAAAAGTTTTACAGTCACCATCAAAAGTTAGTTCACCGATACGATGTGTCTGTGTCTTTAACTTCGTATTTTATTTGGCCGTTTTTTCGAGCGTCACTGATAAGTCTTATAAAGACGTAACGTGCGTCTGGCTTACACAATCTCATTCCTGGGTTTATTCTCAACTACTAGTAACTAGTGACAAGTTTTCGAGGTTTGATGTAGCTAGTGACATGAATATAATAGCTTAGCACTCAAGAAGAACTAACTTTGTCTAAATTATGCATGGATATCGGCTTTGCTTGAAAGTGTATACAGGTCCACCATGTAACATAGTTGAATCCCTACTGAAGATGTACAAAGTAAGGACTTCTAAATATTTTCGTTGTTTTAATTTATTGGATTTAATGTTAATGAAGTCAACATAAGGTTGTTTTAGATTTTGAGCCTGGACTTTTTTTTTAACAATTTAGTGCACCATTTTACGTACTCTAATGTTTTTAACGAGAAGTATTGCTGACTTTTTGGTGTGCCATAGCTTGGCAGTACAATACAAAGATAAAAAAAGGTTTTACATCTTTAGATACTAGAACAATTGTCTGATCTGTAAATTTGTTCCTGTTTGAGACATGTAGACTGAGGTTGACGGGTAATGCAAGCACAGCAGGATATGCTTGACCTGTCAATGCACCCGGTTTCGCTCATTTTGGGACTCTCTCATTTTTCATTTTTTACCTTGATTTAAATCTTCGAAATGGATTAATGAATTTTGAACATTGGTAAACTACTGTTGCTCAAAATTCCTTACCAAAAGTTAAGAATTCCCATGAAATTGACAAAAAATCATTGCCTGCTTTCCTGAGAACTCCAAGGTAACTCTTGATGATACAAAATGAGTACAAGATAAACATTGTCTGTCTTCCTTTTACGAAGAAAATATTTCCGAGGAAAACCAGTCATGTCTTCCTTATACTAGGTGAAGAATTTAGAGATAAACATACCTTGTCCCTATAAACTAAAGAATGTCGATTATGTATATGTTGCAATATGTTTTGTAAAAAAGTAAAGACAAATTGCAAGGTAAATGTATCCTGTTTTTCTTATTAAATAACGAATTCCTTGTTGCAGTATAATATATTACAAAAAGTATGAGGGATACATACTGTACTGTATAACAGACAACCCTTAGCATCCGACTCCTCCGAAAAAGAGGCGTACAAACAAAACCAAACGAACAAAACATGTTCACAATTGCGTGCCTTAGTACAGGAACAAAATTTAATTTTAGTAAAACCAGTTTTGAGAGTTATAGATAGCACACATATTATTATTATTCATCTAGACTGTATGCCGTACCACTAAAGCACACACTAAATTTACCTCTTCCTAATTCAAATTTAACAATTCAGAGGTACATATTGGCTGACTTTCTTATTCAAAATATAAAATGTTGAGCATTTCATATTGCCTGATCTCCTTAAACAAAACTATCAATTGAGGTTTATATTGCCTTCCGTTTTATAAGATTTTAAAATTGCCTCATTTTCATTACAAAAACTTCCGATGTAACTATTGTGCGTTCTTCATTGATACAGTAAAGAATTCACATGTTAACATTGTCCGCGTCTCCCTTATACAAAATAAAGCTGTTTAAATTAAAGTCAATTTTGCATATGTTTCTATAATGAGTTTGTGTAAGAAAACAGAATTTTGACTCATCCATTGCCTCACCTCTTTTTATAGAATTAAACATTCAGAAGTGAAAAGAATCTGTTCTTCTCATATAAAGTAAATATTCATATAAATACATTTCCCCTCACTTTTATTGACCTGCAATGTATTTATTCCGGATATAACGGAATATAACGGATCTATAAACAACTGCCATACAAGTGGGAGGTTTAACTAGCTATAAACCAGGTTTAACCCACTATCTTCTTCGGCAAATGCCTGAACCAAGTCAGGAATATGACAGTTGATTTCAACTCTTTCCGTAGGTTGATAAAGTTTATTTTGTACGTTTTGATGGACTTTTCCTTTTTGAATTTACCTTGGAATTCAGTACTTTTTTTAAAATTTTTTACCTAGTAAAGTAAAATGTTTCAATGTAAGTATTGCCTCATTCCTTGACGCAAAGTTAATAAACCTACGTAAATATTTATATATTTCTAAAACTAAGCATTTAAACACATGTAACATTCAATCCTCGTTTACAATTGTATATACTACTCGTGAAATTTCTATAATTCTGGTTAACATTACTTACTTCATATGATGTATTGACAGCCACGATTAATTGTCTGTTGTCGTTTTTACTTTGAACTGTTCCTTTACTCTTATATAGTATAGCAGATACCTATAATAGAAATCAAATAAACAAACAGTAATTTGTCTGTTGTCGTTCTTTTTTAGAATTTTATATACTCTTATATGCTAAAGCCTATATATATAATAGAAATCCAGCTCATCAATGATTAAATGTCTGTAACTGTTATTTCTAACTCTAGACGCACTCGATCTGGATCCTTTTGAAGTGAATGCGATTGCCTAATTTTTGTTTGTTACCTTGAATTGTCTTCTTAATCGATTTGTGATATTCGAAAATTTTGGAAACTACTATATTTAAAATGTTACTTTACACTTAAACAATATTTCTTACTTCTGCAACGGTTATCCAACAAATCAATTATTGTTTTGAGTTATCAATATAGCGGAACTATACACAAATGTCATACCAGTGGGAAGTTTAGCTAGTTATTAAACCAGGTTTAACCCAACATTTTCTTTGGAAAATGCCTGTACTAAGTCAAAAATATGGCAGTTTGTTTCTCATTTGTGCTGCAGATTAATAGCGTTTGATATTGTTCTTATGGACATCCCCTTTTTGTTATACTTTTTTTGTGTATTTTCGTTTTTATTTAGATATAAAAATAAGAAGATGTGGTATGATTGCCAATGAGACAACTCTCCACAAGAGACCAAATGACACAGAAATTAACAACTATAGGTCACCATACGGCCTTCAACAATGAGCAAAGCCCATACCGCTTAATTTGTTTTACACAATAAAACACATCAAAATAGGAACCTGCAAGTGTTATACTATTCATTTTTCTATTTTGCATTGTGATTGTCGGTCATTTTTTTTTGTGTGTGGATATAGTGTTCTTTACAGAACATGCTAAGAGGTATGGGGTTTGCTAATTGTTGAAGGCCGTACGGTGATTTCAACGTTATGTGGTCTCTGGTGGAGAGTTATTGGCAATCATACCAAATCCTCTTATTTTATAATGCTACTTTAGATGAAAGATTAATCAAGTCATACCACATCATCTTATTTTATAATGCTACTAAACTATGAAAGATTCATCCAAGCATACCACATCTTCTTATTTGTTTAAGGCGACTATACGATGAAAGATAAATCCTTTGAAATATCCTGTCGTCCATTCTGCATATTGTGCTTATTACAAAGTGGATTTTTTCACAAGAATAACATAACAATCGTATTGGAGAGAAGCCTGAATCTGTAACTTTTTTGTTATTATTAATTACACGGCATACACAGGAATCAGAAATGGTGAACCTCAGCCTACTGTACCTTACACTATTTGATAAATACAATCGATCGATATCATGTATGCTTTCAAATTTTCCGCCACACTAAATTGGAGTTAGAAAGAGATTGAACTTTTATAACACAAGAACCGTGTCGGAATTCTAATTAACAAAATAAATTAACTTGAAAGAGAATACCTACCGGGAAATGTTACTGAGAGGGGTATCCTTTTGACGTCATAGTAATATACCGCTGTTCAATAGTCATAATTCGATTAAGCAAAAACAAATCCGGGTAACAAACTAAAACCGAGGGAAACACATCAACTATGAGAGAAAAACAAAGGAACAACAGAAACACTGAACTACAACAAAATCAAACGCCAACATACATAGAAACGGACTAAAGCCTGAGCAACCCTCTTTTACTATACAACTTTAGTATAGATAGTATCTTCATTCAAAATCAAACAAACTAATCTATTTCAATTGATGCTTTTCTTTGAAGAATTCCTATACTCTTTAAATACAATATATTCTGAGTTCAAATATGGAGTACTACATAATAATCTACGTCTATGCTCAACTTAGTAAAGTTAAGTGAATCCTCCGATAAACTCACAAAACATGATATGGAGTACTTTATAATAATATACGTTTATGCTCACCTTAGTAAAACTTAGAGAATCTTCTGATATATTCAAAAATATATGATATGGAGTACTATATGATAATCTACGTCTATGCTCATCTTAGTAAAACTTAGAGAATCTTCTGATATATTCACAAAGACATGATATGGAGTACTATATAATAATCTACGTCTATGCTCACCTTAGTAAAACTTAGTGAATCCTCTGATATATTAACTAGAACATCAAATGTATCCGTCTCGTCTTTCTCTAATAAATCAATCTTTATTTCAATGATCGCCCATTTACTCGGATCAACCGTTCTACATGACTTGAATATAAATGTTTTGTTAAACCACAATATCATATATATCTTTGTCGTTATGAAAATATTATCATATTATAAATAAATCAAATACTCATTACAATCAAGACATTATCTCCAAGTCATATAATATAGCATACTATATAGTAAACATAAAACCATTTCAAAAAAAATCCTCATCCTCAATATTTGAATATTTCCGTTTAATTTCTTAATCATTTAAAGGAAGGTTAGCTACAAATAAAGATGCTGTAAGATACCCTGCATGACTTCTTTACATTTCAAGTGCAATGGCAATTCTATATCATATAAGCGATATTACTTACAATTTCCTTAATTGTTCGTTTCGATTGCTGTTCTTTAGTTTGTCTGAGTGAGGTTTCTCTTCGTTTACGATTTGGATTTACAGAATGTCTTGCCGGTAATGTTGATGTTGAAAAAAATGTTGGAGTTTGAGGTGTGGTTGAAGAAGTTGGCAGTTGTCTCTCTGGTTTGTACATCATCTCTCCTAGAAATCTTATTACTCTCCAACTTATTCGTGGACTATTTTCAAAGACCTATATACATAAATTACATTACAGATTTAAATATCGTCGTATTTATTATGACATAAATGTATGTTGAGTGAGGGTTATGGTTATATATTTTCCACTCCTTCGAAATTTTTCCCCGAATGTGACCTACCGAATTATACTTATCACCGGGTTTTGTATTTTCATGAGCAACACGACGGATTCCACATGCGGAGCAGGATCTGCCTACCCTCCAGGAGCACCTCAGATTACCCCCGATTTTGAAGGGGTTCGTGTTGCTCAGTCTTTATTTTTCACAACAGCGATCATCTCAGTACCAGAATCTATGACAAACGAGACGATTTCAATTTTGATATTTTAAATTTTCCTCACCTTAGCAGCATTATACCAACTTCACCGGCGTATTAAGTATACATTTCTCAACTTATAAGATATTCAAGAGCTTGCAGTTGCTACTTAGCCTTTGTAAAACGTCATCGGTGTCTGAGCCAAAAAATAATGAGCCAGGGTTTTGCCAAAGAACGTCTCGTCCTTTTTCTCAAAATGTTCATCGGAAAGTACCAAAACATAAAAAGTAAAATAACAAAAATAAAGAACTCAAAGGAAAATTTAAAACGGAAAGTCCCTTATCAAATGGCAAAATCAAAAGCTCAAACACATCAAACGAATGGAAAACAACTGGCATATTCCTTATGTAGAAAAAGGTGGATTAAACCTGGTTTCATAGCTAGCTAAACCTCTCACTTGTATAAAAGTTGCATAAAATTCCATCATATTGACAACAATGTGCGAACAAAAAAAACCAGACATAATAGGTAAAAATGTCAAAAACAGGGGTACAGCAGTCAACATTGTTGTATAATCTTAATCACTATAAAAACAAAGAAATATGTCAACAAAGAAAAACAAAATGGCATATAGACAAAGCACATAAGCAAAAATGAAAGATAATAGATACATATTCAGTGTGTATTCACATATAATACAAAATGGTCTTGAGCTATAGATATAAGTGTATTCTTTTTTAATTTGGTTTCTCCGTTATTTGTAGTCGTGCTATTATATTTCTTTGGGTCGTATGACTTTTGACGTGACTCGGTATTTATACATCCCGCCGCTGGATTTCTGATTTTTTAACTTGAGCATTCCTGGTGCAGGTGGATCCGGAGGTGCAATTCGGACTCAAAGGCTTTTTACAGTGTTGTTTCTATTTTGTGTACCCCTGTATTTATATTTGATTAATTTTTACTTTATCGAGATAGTACATACTATATACGGTATGTACTATCAACGACAAAATATTGTTTGTTGACGGCATTGTCAAATTCACTGTCTACTACACCTTTTTTGTTGGCGTTTTTATTAGATTAATTTGTATGTTTGTTTTTAGTCAGTTGTGTTGTATGTCTGTGATGTATGTTAACACAGTTTTGGCTGCTGAATCCCAATATTTGTCAAATTAGCCTATTATGTCTGTTTGGATTGCTCATCCGATTTTATCAATATAACTATAAACAACTGTCATACAAGTGGGATGTTTAGCTAGATATAAAAGCAAGGTTTAATCCCCATTTCTTCGGAAAATGCCTGTCCCAGATCAGCAGGAGTGTTGCAATTGTTTTTTTTTCACTTGTTCCGTTGAATGAAAGCTGATTTTTTGTCAGTTTTGATGGATTTCCCCTTTTTGAATTTGCCTTGGAGTTTTTTTATTATACTTTTTTTCTATGTTGTGTTTTGTAAACTGTTGTTTGTCTTTTGTCTTATACTTTTTCTTGCCATGGCATTGTCATTTTTTTTTTTCGACATGTGGGTTTGAATATCCCTTTGGTTTCTTTCGCCTCTCATTAATCATTTATGGACTTCTGACGAGGTCAATACGTTACATATGGACCTGTTCAGATCCTATTGACCGAAGACGAAATCTGTGTCTGAGCAAAAAAAAAAAGATTTTACTGTTAAGTACTCTTTTTTAAACAGATTAAAAAGTGGCATCATACATAATGTTTAAGTAAAAAAATATATCAGACTAATAAATTGTGTAATCCAAATGCGCGTTTCGTAAACAAAAGACTCATCAGTGTAAGTAAAAAAAGTTGATATATCAAATAAAGTACGAAATTGAAGAGCATTGAGAACCCAAAATTTCAAAAGGTTTTGCCAAATATAGCTAAGGTCATCTATTCAAGGGTGTAAACAATCCTTAGTATTTCGAGCAATTCTAAGTTGTGTAAAAAGTTATTTTATAAATATGACCATATCAATGATAATGCATGTCAACACAGAAGTGCTGAATAAAATAGTATACTTCTTGCTTGTATTGCTCTTATCAATCTATTTAACATCAGCCAGTCAACATCTCATTTATGTAACCATGGACGGATAAATGAGTATTGATCTATGACCTCAGGAATATTAACCCAAAACAAACTAGTTTAAAAAGAATTAAAAATTATTGTTTCGGAAAAAGCTTTAAAATATTAAGATATATGAAGATACTAAACTATTCTTTATATTCATCGTGTAATTAAGAATTGAACAATGACATTAAACAGATAAAGTGTTATTACGTTTGAATAAAACACTAAAACAAGAAGCTGAAGATACCAAATTGACACTAAAAATTCAGAAGTCGAATAAGATTTAGCAACACAAACCATACTAGGTACATAATACATAAACATTTACATATTATACCATCGACTTTTTACTCAATAGTTATGATTAGTTTACTCAACATGAGCAACATGACGGGTGCAACAGGTGGGCCAGGATCTGTTTACCTTTCCGGAACACCTGCCATCATCACCGGATGTTGGTGAGAGTCACGTTGCTAAGTCTTAAGTTTTCTGTGTGGTGTTTTGTGTGTTTTCGTTCTTTTGCCATGGCAGTGTCAGTTTCGAATGCCCCTTGGTATCTTCCTTCTCTTTTAAGTTTTATGTTAATTTTATGTTTTCGCTTAACGAAAATAAAAAAAAGAGACGGAACAATCTAAACATCAGATGTAAAAAAAACGAAAGACTGCAAAAAGACAAACAACAGTCTTCAAAATGCTACATAGAAAACGAAAGACTAAGCAAAACGAACACTACCAAAGCCGATAGAGCAAACAGACAGAAAGATAGTAGGATAACAAGTTGTTAATAGTTGTTACATTCATCTTAAGTTGAAATCATCACTTCGTTAATTTTACGGACGCCATCACGAGTTGGTTGACCGTTATGGAATATCTGGTTCACAAATGACGACGCATATGTTCCAATTGTCGTAACCAGAATCGAGTCCTCTTTTCACCGAATGTGACTTATCGAATTAGACTTATCACCGGGTATATACCTACATGAGCAACACGACGGGTGCTCCATGTGGAGCAGGATCTGCATATCCTTCTGGAGCACCTGAGATCACCCATGGTTTTTGGTGGGGTTCGTGTTGCTCAGTATTTAGTTTTAAATGTTGTGTTTTGTGTACTGTTGTTTGTTTTTTGGTCTTTTTCTTTTTTGCAATGGAGTTGTCATTTTATTTTCAACTTATGAGTTTGAATGTCCCTTTGGTATCTTTCCCCATTCTTTTACAATATAGAACGAACTCAAAACTCTGGATTCACATGTATTGTCTCGTTTCTGAACATACTTCTCCCTAATCTGATGAGACACATGCACTGGGGTGTTCCTCTTGTCATTATACGTTTCCTTATATCTGATATAATAGGAAGTCATACCTGAATAGACTTATTAATCAGCGGTATCAGATAAATAGACTTACTTTTATTGTTCCTCTTTTCATTCTTTTTTTCTTATATTTGTAAGGAAGAGACAGATTTTTAAAGATCCATTATACAGGAGACCCGGACATTCGGACCTACCTTTGTTTTCCCTCTCGTCATCATGTTTTTCACTATATCTGATATGATATGGATCCATTTTACAGCGGACTCGGACCTAATGAATTACCTGTACTATCCCTCTTGCCAACATACCCCATATCTGATATGATAGGAAGACTGGTTTTATTTCTAGAGATTCGTTATAAATGAGGTCAGACAATTGGACTTACCTGTATCTGATATGACAGGAAGACAGATTTCTATAAATCCATTATACATGGAAATTGGAATTCTGGGCTTACCTTTATTTGCCCTATTGACACCATGTTTTCCCTATATCTGATATGATGGTGAAACTGATTTCTATAAATCAATTATACAGCGGACTTGGACCTCTGTTCTTTACATCATACGTAAACCTTTGTCAACTTTCTTGTCATCATATTTTCCCGATATTTGATATGACAGGTATACAGATTTTTAATGAGCCATTATACCGGGAACTGGACCTCTGGACTTACCTAATTGTCACTCTTATCATCAAACTTTTTTTCCAATATCTAATATGACAGTTACATGAGCAAATCCACGGGTGCAACATGTGGAGTAGAATCTAATTACTCGCCCGGAACACCTGAGATCACCCCGGTTTTTTGTAGGGTTCGTGTTCCATAGTCTTTAGTTTTCTATGTTGTGTTTTTTATACTGTTGTTTGACTTTTGGTCTTTTTCTTTCTTTGCCATGGCGTTGTTAGTTCATTTTCGACTTATATGTTAAAAAGTCCCTTTGGTATCTTTTGCCTCTCTTTTAAGATCCACTATACTACGAACTCGAACCTATGGAAATACATGTATTGTCCGTTTGGCATCATATTTTTCCCTATATCTAATATGACAGACAGACATATTTTTATAGGTCCATTTTACAGGGGATTCTGCAACTCTTTTCACAAAAAATCTTACGATGAAAATTGATCGTAAGTAATACTGAAATGTGTATGGCTTACGAGTATTTTTACTCTTAATATTTTTTGTGAAAAGAGCCGCAGACCTCTGGAATTACCTGTATTGTCCGTTTGTCATCATACTTTTCCCTATATCTGATATGACAGGTAGACATATTTTTATATATCCAATAAACAGGGGATTCAGACCTCTGGAAATACCTGTATTGTACCTCTTGCCATCATATTTTTTCCTGTTTCTGATATGACTGGTAGACAGATTTCTATAGATCCATTGTACAGGGAATTCAGACCTCTGCAATTACCTTTATCTTACCTCCTATAGACTTTATGGGGATATGATTGGTTAAAGGACTACACGTGGTGACTAAATATATTTGATATAGGCTGTCCTAAAAAATATAGGGTTAGTTACCATATAGGGTTAGTTACCATATGGGGTTAGTAAGGAGTTACTTCCCTTTCAAAACAAAAAAGAAATCTGAAAGGTGTCAACAGACGATGAAATTGATAATGAACGATTGAAATAAATTCATAAAGCAAATTTAAAGCTAACAAGTTGTTATTGTTGGCATTTGTTTTTTGTATAGACAAATGGAAGTAGGTTCTTAATACTAAGTATTGAAGACTTAATCACTTTGATAGGCCGCTAGTATAAATACCACATGTGATGATAGTCGGTAAGATAAATTCGTTACACGGTGTGCTAGTGACATAATACGATATATATAGGGTCTGTAAATTCCATATGGGGATTCGAGCTTCGCTCTCACCCCATATGGAAATTACAGACCCAATATATATCGTATTAGGTCGCTCTCACCCCATATGGAATTTACTGACCCTATATATATCGTATTAGGTAACTAACACACCATGTAACTAACAGTATTGTCCCTCTTGTCATCTTGCTTTTTCTTACATCTGATATGACAGGTAGACAGATTTCTATAGATCCATTGTACAGGGGATTCAGACCTCTGGAATAACCTGTATTGTCCCTCTTTTCACCATGCTTTTTCTTTCATATGATATGACAGGTAGACAGATTTCTATAACTCCATTATACAGGGGATTCAGATCTCTGGAAATAACTGTATTGTCCCTCTTGTCATCATACTTTTACTTACATCTGATATGACAGACAGACAGATTTCTATAGATCAATTGTACAGGGGATTCAGACTTCTGGAATTACCTGTATTGTCCCTCTTGTCATCTTGCTTTTTCTAACATCTGATATGACAGGTAGACTTTTCTATAGATCCATTATACAGGGGATTCAGACCTCTGGAATTACTTGTATTGTCCCTCTTGCCATCATACTTTTTCCTATATCTGATATGACAAGTAGACAGATTTTTATAGATCCATTATACAGGGGATTCAGACCTTTGGAATTACCAGTATTGTCCCTCTTACCATCATATTTTTTCCTGTATTTGATATGACTGGCAGACAGATTTCTATAGATCCATTATACAGGGGATTCAGACCTCTGGAATTACCTGTATTGTCCCTCTTGCCATCATATTTTTTCCTGTATCTGATATGACTGGCAGACAGATTTCTATAGATCCATTATACAACGGACTTGGACCTCTGTTCTTTATTTCGTAAGTATGAATAAACTTAAGAACATTGTTCTTCCTCTCCGAGATAGTTAACTGATCCGGTTTTGATATCCTAATAAAAAGAATTATATATCAGTGTATTTGACTACAAAATACGTATAAGTCATGACAGTATGGGAGCTCTTAGGACTTTTGGTGAATTATTTTATGTTTTGACGTTTCTTTATTCATTCACAAACTTGTTAAATACCAACAAAATAACATATTTTCGAAAAAAGGGTGTATTTGTGATTTCGACAAATTCAACAAATAAGCCAAGATCATTTCGTTTACTATTTAAATTCGCGGTGTATGCCCAAGATAACACCAAAAACAAGTATCCCACTAATTCTAACGAATTCTCAGTAACAGTTCTGAAGATGTACAGGCCTATAAAGCTAAAGTTTGTATTACATCCATGCTTATATATCTGCCTCCCACTCTACCCTTTTGCTAGCATGGTCTATATGTGCATCCATCAGTAACTTGAATAAATCAGGCCAGTGAGAATTTTCTGTCGAACTGTTTCATATTTTGTCTTCTTGTGGCGTTTTATGTACGTGTTTTCATACAATATCGGTTTCGTTGGAACTAGCACTACTATCATTTATTTCATTGTCCATTGAAAGTTGTCTCAATGGCAATCACACTACATCTTCTTATTTCATATAATGTCTGTTAAACACCAGTGTTCTACCTTTCCGTTTTGAATTTTCCTGTGAGTTAGTATTTCTGTTATTTTACTTTCTACCTTTATAATCTAGTTAGTATTTTTGTTATTTTACCTTCTACCTTTATAATCTAGAAATAAAACTTTCACACTTACCCAGTCAGTTCTACATGAGCATGTAACTTCACAGATGCTATCAGTTTCCGCAGATTATCAGACATATCCATATCTGGACTAGTTGTTTCTGCCATTGTTATAAAGATTATATTTTGTTCAAAATTACCAAGATTTTGATTCTCTTTAATCAACAAATAACGAGACACACTGAAACGTACACTAAACTTTGAGTGCTGCTGCTGAAATAATGTATTTCTGAGATCACACTGAACATGTGTGTCATTGTTTTCTTCAACAATGTTTCTGCAGTCAACAGGCTCTGTAACTTCATTTGTCGGCTGACTGAATCCGATATATCTGGTATTGTTAGATATGTCAATATTTATCTGTGTTCCATGTGACTGGTCTCCTGTATTAGTGACTTTTACAGTAAGCACTACTTCCGAAGTCACTCCTACGACAATTTCTATTGGATTTAATGTGGCTTCAATATGCAAGTCAGGGTTGCATGTTCCATTACAACCAGTAGAAAAATTCGCCTGAAAGAAATTTGCGTTTTTTAAAATTTAAAATGGCCGTTTTTTTATTTTTTTTTTATTTTGACAATATTAGTTGGGATATTTAAAGTATGTTTTTTCTGGTTTCCAACATTTAAAACATCGGAATACTAAATCATAATTTGCTATTAGTCTGAATTATTCAATTTTTTCACAAAAACATTGCTGACTTTTTAATGACCTGTAAGACAATAATTTGACCTCCTAAAGTGTAATTATGCATGCAACCTTAAATTTGAATCCATTTGGTGATGAGTGTACAGGTATACAGCAAGATCTATATAAACACGAATAAATAACAAAAAGAAAACAAATATTCAAGACCGTTATTAGTTTTACTACTTTATAATTGTCATCTACTAGTAAACTGAAAAAAAATCATTTGTTCTCTAAAGTATTGAATAACTTACCGCCTAATATGTTGATAATTACGGTTTAAATGAACAGATATGCAGAATCTATTTTTAATTACAATAAGGAAACATTTATAAACAAAAAAACGATGTAATCCGCATGGCAGGTGACGCCTGCATAGCAACAGACGCTTACCTGGTCGGAGTATCCGGTCCTCTCCTTTTGAAGTTCATGCAATTCCCTTAGTTTTTGTTTGTCACCTTGGTTTGTCTCTTCCAAATCGATTTACAAGATCATTAAACTGATGTCGCTTTAATCTACCCTAGACCTGGTTCCCACAGCTCTATCCTAGAACTGATCTTGACATTCCCACTCTAGAATTGATTTCCACAGTTCTATACTAGAATTGATTTTGACATTCCCACCCTAGAATTGATTCCCACAGCTCTATCCTAGAATTGATTATGACATTCCCCCCTAGAATTGATTCCCATAGTTCTATCAATAAATTGATTTTGACATTCCCTACCTAGAAATGATTATTACAGTTTATCCTAGACTTGACTTTGTCAATCTCTCCCTAATATCGATTCCCACAGTTCTACCCTAAAATTGATTTTGACATTCCCACCCTAGAATTGATTCCCACAGTTCTATCCTAGAATTGATTTTGACATTCCCACCCTAGAAATGATTCCCACAGATCTATCCTAGAATTGATTTTGACATTCCCACAGTTTTACCCTAGAATTGATTTTGACATTCCCACAGTTCTATCATCCGATCTTGACATACCTACCCTAGAATTGATGATTGTTACAGTTTTATCCTAGAACAGTTCTGATTATCTTTGCCATTTCATTATTCCAGTGCTATGGTTATTTGTTTATTCATGATAAAAATCTGATAACTGGATTGTTTTATTCATTCTCATAGATTTCAAAAATAGTTATAAGGGTTTAAACCGAGTTTAACTTATTTTTTTGGGGTATTTATAACTGTTGCAGTATTTTGATTTTATTGATTTGACACTTTTCATCAATTAAATCATCAATATATAGATATTTCTTTTAATCCAGTTGAACATCCAAACTGAATTATTTTATCATTTTACGATTTTCTTTCCCTTAAAATCTTTATTTTTGTAAATAAAGTGTGTGTGTTTGATCTCTAATTATCAAGTATTTTACAATGTATTGATTAAAAAATTGTCATATTTAGTGGTTTCAGATTATCCTAAATTCATCTTAAAAATATAAATTACTTTCTCAAGGAATAACATACCTGCTTTCTTATTTTGACTCCTAATCTTGATACCCATTTAGTTTTTTCGACATCTTTTATTATTCATTTTCTGATTTATAATAAGTATGAATATCTATGTTATGATTGGCTAAGTTAGGTCTTGATGGTTATGGGTTATATGGATTTTCTGATTATAAACAGTTTTATTTCATTAGGTTTAAACGTCCTCCAAGATCACGTTCATATAACACGTTACGTTTCTATAAATAGCTCTTCGTAAGTAAGTATTGTAGATACATACCGAATTACTGTTTCTTGAGGGAACATTATCCAATATAGGTTGTACTTCTCCTATTATTGGTGTTTCACTCAGTCCATATGTCGTTTCAATTTCCAATTTCTCCTCAAGTGATGCAAAGAATTTCCTATCAACTGCCTGTTAACATAGATTGTATGGTAGTACAGATTGTATATGTTAAATGTTCCTATCAACTGCCTGTTAATACAGATTGTATATGTTAAATTGTTAATACAGATTATATATGTTTAATTGCTGATACAGATTGTATATGTTAAATTGTTAATACAGATTGTATATGTTAAATTGTTAATACACATTGTTAAATTGTTAATACAGATTGTATATGTTGTTAGTACAGATTATATATACAGAATGTATATGTTAAATTGTTAATACAGGTTGTATATGTTAAATTGCTAATACAGATTGTATATGTTGTTAATGCAGAATGTATATGTTAAATTGTTAATACAGATTATATGATAAATTGTTAATACAGATTGTATATGTTTAATTGCTGATACAGATTGTATATGTTAAATTGTTGATACAGATTGTATATGTTAAATTGTTAATACACATTGTTAAATTGTTAATACAGATTGTATATGTTGTTAATACAGATTATATATACAGAATGTATATGTTAAATTGTTAATACAGGTTGTATATGTTAAATTGCTAATACAGATTGTATATGTTGTTAATACAGAATGTATATGTTAAATTGTTAATACAGATTGTATATGATAAATTGTTAATACAGATTGTATATGTTAAATTGCTGATACAGATTGTATATATGATAAATTGTTAATACAGATTGTATATGTTAAATTGTTAATACAGAGTGTATATGTTAAATTGTTAATACAGATTGTATTTGTTAAATTGCTGATACAGATTGTATATGTTAAATTGTTAATAGAGACTGTATATGTTAAATTGTTAATACAGAATGTATATGTTAAATTGTTAATACAGATTGTATATGTTGATTTGTTAATACAGATGGTATATGTTTAATTGCTGATACAGATTGTATATGTTAAATTGTTAATACAGATTGTATATGTTTAATTGCTGATACAGATTGTATATGTTAAATTGTTAATACAGATTGTATATGTTAAATTGTTAATACACATTGTTAAATTGTTAATACAGATTGTATATGTTTAATTGCTGATACAGATTATATATATGTTAAATTGTTTATACAGATTATATATGTTAAATTGTTAATACAGATTGTATATGTTAAATTGTTAATACAGATTGTATACTTTGAATTGTTAATACAGATTGTTTATGTTAAATTGCTGATACAGATTGTATATGTTGTTAACACAGACTGTATATGCTGTTAATACAGTTTGTATATGTTAAATTTTTAATACAGAATGTATATGTTAAATTGTTAATACAGATTGTAAATGTTGAATTGTTAATACAGATTGTATATGTTTAATTGCTGATACAGATTGCATATGTTGTTAATACAGATTGTATAAGTTAAATTGTTAATACAGGTTGTATATGTTAAATTGCTGATACAGATTGCATATGTTGTTAATACAGGTTGTATATGTTTAATTGTAAATACAGATTGTATATGTTAAATTGCTGATACAGATTGTATATGTTAAATTGCTGATACAGATTATATATGTTGTTAATACAGATTGCATATGTTAAATTGCTGATACAGATTGCATTTGTTGTAAATACAGGTTGTATATGTTAAATTGTTAATACAGATTGTATATGTTAAATTGCTGATACAGATTGTATATGTTAAATTGCTGATACAGATTGTATATGTTGTTAACACAGACTGTATATGCTGTTAATACAGTTTGTATATGTTAAATTGTTAATACAGATTGTATATGTTAAATTGTTAATACAGATTGTATATGTTGAATTGTTAATACAGATTGTATATGTTAAATTGCTGATACACATTGTATATGTTAAATTGTAAATACAGATTGTATATGTTAAATTGTTAATACAGATTGTATATGTTAAATTGTTAATACAGATTGTATACTTTGAATTGTTAATACAGATTGTTTATGTTAAATTGTTAATACAGATTGTATACTTTAAATTGTTAATACAGATTGTATATGTTAAATTGTTAATACAGATTGTATATGTTAAATTGTTAATAAAGATTGTATATGTTAAATTGTAAAAAACAGATTGTATACTTTGAATTGTTAATACAGATTGTATATGTTAAATTTTTAATACAGATTGTATATGTTAAACTGTTAGTACATAGATTGTATATGTTAAATTGTAAAAAACAGATTGTATACTTTGAATTGTTAATACAGATTGTATATGTTAAATTGTTAATACAGATTGTATATGTTAAATTGTTAGTACATAGATTGTATATGTTAAATTGTTAATACAAATTGTATACTTTGAATTGTTAATACAGATTGTTTATGTTAAATTGCTGATACAGATTGTATATATTGTTAATACAGATTGTATATGTTGTTTACACAGATTGTATATGTTGTTAATACAGATTGTATATGTTGTTTATACAGATTGTATATGTTGTTAATACAGATTATATATACAGATTGTTGATACAGATTGTATATGTTAAATTGTTAGTACAGATTGTATATGTTAAATTGTTAATACAGATTGTATAAGTTAAATTGTTAATACAGGTTGTATATGTTAAATTGTTAATACAGGTTGTATATGTTAAATTGCTGATACAGATTGTTTATGTTAAATTGCTGATACAGATTGTATATGTTGTTAATACAGATTGCATATGTTGTTAATACAAATTGTATATGTTAAATTGCTGATACAGATTGTATATGTTAAATTGTTAATACAGATTGTATATGTTAAATTGTTAATACAGATTGTATACTTTGAATTGTTAATACAGATTGTTTATGTTAAATTGTTAATACAAATTGTTTATGTTAAATTGTTAATACAGATTGTATACTTTGAATTGTTTATACAGATTGTATATGTTAAATTGTTAATACAGATTGTATATGTTAAATTGTTAATACAGATTGTATATGTTAAATTGTTAATACAGATTGTATATGTTAAATTGTTAATACAGATTGTATACTTTGAATTGTTAATACAGATTGTTTATGTTAAATTGTTAATACAGATTGTTTATGTTAAATTGTTAATACAGATTGCATACTTTGAATTGTTTATACAGATTGTATATGTTAAATTGTTAATACAGATTGTATTTGTTAAATTGTTAATACAGATTGTATATGTTAAATTGTTAATACAGATTGTATATGTTAATTTGCTGATACAGATTCCATATGTTGTTAATACAGGTTGTTTATGTTAAATTGTTAATACAGATTGTATATGTTAAATTGCTGATACAGATTCCATATGTTGTTAATACAGGTTGTTTATGTTAAATTGTTAATACAGATTGTATATGTTAAATTGCTGATACAGATTGTATATGTTAAATTGCTGATACAGATTATATATGTTGTTAATACAGATTGCATATGTTAAATTGCTGATACAGATTGCATTTGTTGTAAATACAGGTTGTATATGTTAAATTGTTAATACAGATTGTATATGTTAAATTGCTGATACAGATTGTATATGTTAAATTGCTGATACAGATTGTATATGTTGTTAACACAGACTGTATATGCTGTTAATACAGTTTGTATATGTTAAATTGTTAATACAGATTGTATATGTTAAATTGTTAATACAGATTGTATATGTTGAATTGTTAATACAGATTGTATATGTTAAATTGCTGATACACATTGGTTATGTTAAATTGTAAATACAGATTGTATATGTTAAATTGTTAATACAGATTGTATATGTTAAATTGTTAATACAGATTGTATACTTTGAATTGTTAATACAGATTGTTTATGTTAAATTGTTAATACAGATTGTATACTTTAAATTGATAATACAGATTGTATATGTTAAATTGTTAATACAGATTGTATATGTTAAATTGTTAATAAAGATTGTATATGTTAAATTGTAAAAAACAGATTGTATACTTTGAATTGTTAATACAGATTGTATATGTTAAATTTTTAATACAGATTGTATATGTTAAATTGTTAGTACATAGATTGTATATGTTAAATTGTAAAAAACAGATTGTATACTTTGAATTGTTAATACAGATTGTATATGTTAAATTGTTAATACAGATTGTATATGTTAAATTGTTAGTACATAGATTGTATATGTTAAATTGTTAATACAAATTGTATACTTGGAATTGTTAATACAGATTGTTTATGTTAAATTGCTGATACAGATTGTATATATTGTTAGTACAGATTGTATATGTTGTTTACACAGATTGTATATGTTGTTAATACAGATTGTATATGTTGTTTATACAGATTGTATATGTTGTTAATACAGATTGTATATGTTGTTAATACTGATTATATATACAGATTGTTGATACAGATTGTATATGTTAAATTGTTAGTACAGATTGTATATGTTAAATTGTTAATACAGATTGTATAAGTTAAATTGTTAATACAGGTTGTATATGTTAAATTGTTAATACAGGTTGTATATGTTAAATTGCTGATACAGATTGATTATGTTAAATTGCTGATACAGATTGTATATGTTAAATTGTTAATACAGATTGTATATGTTAAATTGTTAATACAGATTGTATACTTTGAATTGTTAATACAGATTGTTTATGTTAAATTGTTAATACAGATTGTTTATGTTAAATTGTTAATACAGATTGTATACTTTGAATTGTTTATACAGATTGTATATGTTAAATTGTTAATACAGATTGTATATGTTAAATTGTTAATACAGATTGTATATGTTAAATTGTTAATACAGATTGTATACTTTGAATTGTTAATACAGATTGTTTATGTTAAATTGTTAATACAGATTGTTTATGTTAAATTGTTAATACAGATTGTATACTTTGAATTGTTTATACAGATTGTATATGTTAAATTGTTAATACAGATTGTATTTGTTAAATTGTTAATACAGATTGTATATGTTAAATTGTTAATACAGATTGTATATGTTAATTTGCTGATACAGATTCCATATGTTGTTAATACAGGTTGTTTATGTTAAATTGTTAATACAGATTGTATATGTTAAATTGCTGATACAGATTCCATATGTTGTTAATACAGGTTGTTTATGTTAAATTGTTAATACAGATTATATATGTTAAATTGCTGATACAGATTGCATATGCTGTTAATACAGATTGTATATGTTGGAATGTTCGTTTAAGGTATTAACGCCTTACTGGTTACACATTACAGTACTTGTACGATATCATAGAAATATACTGCAGGTATGACGATTACTTTTGTATATCCTAGAACGCACATAATTTCCAAAAAAAAATTTTTCAAACGTATATTTCTTACTTGTTCAATGATTATAGTACCATAAATATTGTTCTTATTTGGATAAAAACGGCATTATTCTTTCTATTATACTTACTTGCACAATAGCATAATATTCCACACATGATCCTGGCCCTTTTCCGACTTGTATAGTTTTCCCTACGAGGTTATCGCTTCCAAAGTCTTCATTGTTGGAAGAAAGGTGAACTCGACTAGGTTTACTTGGTATTGACGTAGTTCTTGAAGTATCAGCACTAATATTATAGGCGACCACTAAAACAATAAAGCGTAAAAAATAAGAATTACAACATGAACGATCTATATAACCCTTTAAAACACTAGTTAAAGGCCAAAAGTTCTCCGAATACAGGAGTAAATACTCAAAGTGAACTGGAAAAAATGAGGCGGGAGATACCAAAGGAACAAGTCAGAGAGAAACCAAATAAAACCAGCAAAAAACACGAAGAACAACAGTTTACAAAACTCTATTTAGAAAACTAAAGATGGGCAACACGAATCCCATCAAAAACCGGGAGTTAATTCAGGTGCTTGGGAATGGTATGAATACAGTATTATCCTGATTCACAAGTGACACCCGTGGTGTAGCTCATCGTAAGAACACACTCGGTGATAATTCTCATACGGCGATGTCATTAACGAGGCAAAGTTGACGGGATTGTGGCTACGACAAATGGAATATATCTGTGGCCATGTGTAACACAGAAACTCCTTAACGGTCAACAAGACGGCGTGCGTTGAACTTTCAAAGACAGGACTTCAAATGAACCACTATGAATCCTTCGTTCAATAGCTTCCTTCCATTCTTCCTGATGTCTCGAATGTATGGAACAAGAGTTTTTGTTTTTTACAATATATGATTTGAAGAGTACAAATCTAATTTACAATTCTAATGTTATAATAAACTGGCATTTGCTGTTTCTGTGCCGATCAAGCGGTATTATATAGTAAGACCACAGACTGGTCGACTCGAGCTCGCAATCAGTATAATGTGCCCGGGTAGAGAAGCAGGTCTTCCTAAGGACTGTTACCTCATGGCCTAGCACGCTAAAAATCACGCTCAGCGTGTCGATTCATTTTTATTGGTTGTTTTTGTAGTCGGATACCGGTAATGACTACTCTCTTTTCGAAATACAACTGTTATTTTCTATGGCTGACTGCGTAATAGGTAATTTATTGATCTAATGAGTATATATTAGCGCTTTACAGTTGCTATGGAGATAAGTGTTAATCGAGGTGGATTGATATTCTTCATCAGTAGTTAATTAAATTAGAGTCCCATATGTTAAATTTTCTTAATTACAAGCTGGGTTCACATTGGAGATTTCGTTACCGTCAATGGATAGGGCGTTTGAAAACTGAGCCATTTTAGCGTTCTTAAAAAAGTGCAAAGTCCGTATAAGCAGCAATATTAAAATTCTACGTCCAGGAAAAATGCGAACAGTTTCTAAAATTGTTCTTATTTTAATCAAAATAGCAAAAATGGAGTTATTATTAAAAGTCCATTACTTTAGTATGTAAAATATCGGAACAAACTTTCCTCTATCGTTATCAAAATACAAATTAAATTAAATAGAAAAATAAATTAAAGAAAAAACAAACTGAACCATAGAATCGTTGAGGTGTGTAAAATGCAGATATAAGATGCTACAACGAAACATTTTATTTTTTAAGTTATAAACATATGTTAGCGGTATGATGACAATTCTGAAAGAATAATTAAATGTTTGGGCGTGAGGTCTGTGATGTCGGATATTATGCATATGCAATAGCAGTGGTAAAATACTAATATAGGCTCAGAGACTGAGTGATGATAGATATAATCAGAGATAAGATAAAGAATTACTATTTATAGTAATTAGGGCTCTACATGTTTATCAACTATAAATAAGGAAACAAAAGCTTGATGATATCAGGTGCAGTTAGTTTTCTCGTAGGAATTATTTTACATTTGTCATTTCGCGGCCTTTTATAACTTACTTTAGGGTATGGGATTTGCTCATTTTTGAAACGATTTACAGGCACACTGAGTGATATTCTTTGTGGTATGTGACTGTCCCCACCCCCACAAACACACAAAATCAGGCTAAAAGTTAAAGTAGCAGGTGCACAACTTCGTGCCCCACCTAAAGAAGTATCAGTGCAAGTTTCTTGGAATTCCGTCAATTTGTTTTCATTGAGTTCAGGCAATCTGTATTCATAAGCGAATTTAGAGGCCTACAGCGTTATTGGGGAAAATATTATGACGATATCTTTCCAAATTAGGCGATACAGAAACGTTTGTTTTCATAAGCAAATAGAGCACAACTTAGTAACAAATATTTTTTCTTAAAATCAATATCCGTATTCAACGGACATGCGATTGCAAAAACAGGATTTTCAAATTGCGTACTGGACATGAGCTATACCGAATTTGAACTTATTCCTGTTTCCCTCCGTCTGTCATGCAATCGTATAAAAACACAAAAGGACAAGTTATGAAATGAAAAAGTGAGATTTGTTTCAACAAACTGATTTAAGTATAAAGTTGTTTCTACTCTAAAAGTCTGATTGGAGTTGCCTTGGGTATAAATAAATTGAGATCAAGCATATCTTGAATATGATAGCCAATGACCAAACCATACAAGTTAAACACCAGGTAGAGGAATATACACTAGTGATTTTGTCTGTCAAAATATTTTTTCTGTAATCCATGCACAGTGTTGATACTACACAAATCTTAGAAGGTTGCGTGTGTCAGCAAACACTTTTAAGATTGAAAAGGGGAGATATCAGGATATTCCTCGACACGATAGGTATCGATTATCAGGTTGTCTGCATGTTGATATCAGCTGCGAGTCACAATATGAAGCTTTTTGTCGAGAGAGCGCAGCGAACGAGATCAAAAGACCTTCATATTGTGTCGAGCAGCTGATATTTTACAGAAACCCTGATGTTCAATCACTCTGTCTCTTTTGTGATGATTTTCTATTCGTCACTCTATTGTATACTCGGGAGTATGGCATAGTACAAGGTATATTAAAATACTATGATGAAATCACCTCAATCAGCACCTATTATTTCTAATAGATTCTTTTGTAGAAATTGCAAATCCTCGATAGCTTCCAGGAGGGGGGGGGGGGGGGAGTCCCTACAGTCCGTTACAGCAAGGATTTGTTAAACACATGCAGATACTTATAACATCTAATATCCCTTACAGCACGGATTTGTTAAACACATGCAGATACTTATAACATCTAATATCCCTTACAGCACGGATTTGTTAAACACATGCAGCTACTTATAACATCTTATATCCCTTACAGCAAGGATTTGTTAAACACATGCAGATACTTATAACATATTATACCCCTTACAGCACGGATTTTTTAAACACATGCAGATACTTACAACATCTTATACCCCTTTCAGCACGGATTTGTTAAACACATGCAGATACTTATAACATCTTATACCCCTTACAGCACGGATTTGTTAAACACATGCAGATACTTATAACATCTAATATCCCTTACAGCATGGATTTGTTAAACACATGCAGATACTTATAGCATCTTATATCCCTTACAGCAAGGATTTGTTAAACACATGCAGATACTTATAACATCGTATATCCCTTCCAGCACAGATTTGTTAAACAGATGCAGATACTTATAACATCTTATATCCCTTTCAGGATGGATTTGTTAAATACATGCAGATACTTATAACATCTTATATCCCTTACAGCATGAATTTGTTAAACACATGCAGATACTTATAACATCTTATACCCCTTACAGCACGGATTTGTTAAACACATGCAGATACTTATAACATATTATATCCCTTACAGCAAGGATTTGTTAAACACATGCAGATACTTAAAATATCGTATATCCCTTCCAGCACATATTTGTTAAACAGATGCAGATACTTATAACATCTTATATCCCTTACAGGATGGATTTGTTAAATACATGCAGATACATATAACATCTTATATCTCTTACAGGATTGGTTTGTTAAATACATGCAGATACTTATAACATCTTATATCCCTTACAGCATGGATTTGTTAAACACATGCAGATACTTATAACATTTTATATCCCTTACAGCACGGATTTGTTAAACACATGCAGATTCTTATGAGATCTTATATCCCTTACAGCACGGATTTGTTAAACACATGCAGATACTTATAACATCTTATATCCCTTACAGCATGCATTTTTTAAACACATGCAGATACTTATAACATCTTATATCCCTTACAGTACGGATTTGTTAAACACATGCAGATACTTATAACATCTTATACCCCTTACAGCACGGATTTGTTAAACAGATGCAGATACTTATAGCATCGTATATCCCTTACAGCACGGATTTGTTAAACACATGTAGATACTTATAACATCTTATACCCCTTACAGCACGGATTTGTTAAACACATGCAGATACTTATAACATCTTATACCCCTTACAGCACGGATTTGTTAAACACATGCAGATACTTGTAACATCTTATACCCCTTACAGCACGGATTTGTTAAACACATGCAGGTACTTATAACATCTAATATCCCTTACAGCACGGATTTGTTAAACACATGCAGATACTTATAACATCTTATATCCCTTACAGCAAGGATTTGTTAAACACATGCAGATACTTATAACATCGTATATCCCTTCCAGCACAGATTTGTTTAACAGATGCAGATACTTTTAACATCTTATATCCCTTACAGCATGGATTTGTTAAACACATGCAGATACTCATAACATCTTATACCCCTTACAGCACGGATTTGTTAAACACATGCAGATACTTATAACATCTTATATTCCTTACAGCAAGGATTTGTTAAACACATGCAGATACTTAAAACATCGCATATCCCTTCCAGCACAGATTTGTTAAACACATGCAGATACTTATAACATCTTATATCCCTTACGGGATGGATTTGTTAAATGTATGCAGATACATATAACATCTTATATCCCTTACATGATGGATTTGTTAAATACATGCAGATACTTATAACATCGTATAACCCTTACAGCATTGATTTGTTAAACACATGCAGATACTTATAACATCTTATATCCCTTACAGCACGGATTTGTTAAACACATGCAGATACTTATAACATCTTATATCCCTTACAGCACGGATTTGTTAAACACATGCAGATACTTATAACATCTTATATCCCTTACAGCACGGATTTGTTAAACACATGCAGATACTTATAACATCTTATACCCCTTACAGGATGGATTTGTTAAACACATGCAGATACTTATAACATCTTATACCCCTTACAGGATGGATTTGTTAAACACATGCAGATACTTATAACATCTTATATCCCTTACAGCACGGATTTGTTAAACACATGCAGATACTTATAACATATTATATCCCTTACAGTACGGATTTGTAAAACACATGCAGATACTTTTAACATCTTATATCCCTTACAGCACGGATTTCCCAAAGGTCGATCAACAAGGAAGGAAAATAAAACTTTAAAGCTATAGATAATGCAGAAGAAAATGAAACTTTCAAGATATAGATAATGCAGAAGAAAATGAAACTTTCAAGCTATAGATATTGCAGAAGAAAATGAAACTTTCAAGCTATAGATAATGCAGAAGAAAATAAAAATTTCAAACAATAGTTTTAAGCGAATGCATGTATAAATTGCCTTCCCCATCTTTATTAATCGCATTGAGTGAGGAACAACAGTATCAATGCTATTTTTATCGAGATAAGTCAGTATAGCAACAATAAACACCTTGAAATACAATGTTTTAATTATTTGCCTTATAAATAGTTTCCCTATTTAAAGTTGGCATTTGATAATTTGGGATTGTTAAACATAGCAACTTCCGTTATTATTTCGCTTTTGTTACTATGTGAACACTTTTTGTTTTGGAGTCATGTCCGGTATGACTATTTCAACTAACAAGCATGCAAATGTTCGTAACACACCTAGTGTTTATCTATTTCTATTTTATTAGTAATGCAATCTAATAAAAAATTCATAACATTTTATTGGGCATAATACTCACTTATTGCCGGTGGAACATTGAATCCACTATAAGAGAAACACAGTTTGACGGTTACACATGGTCTGTACTGTTCATCTTTACATTTCAGTTCGGAAGAGTTTAAAGGTATGACAGAGGGGGAAATCTCCACTGTATTATTCAGTTTTATGATAGGTCTGGTTCGTAAAACTGTAACAATGTCCGATTTGTATGATCCAACCAAGAAATCTAAAGAAAATTAGATATATACTAGAACTTCAGTAAAAAATACTGAAAATGTAAAACAAAAAAAGGAAACAGTTCGACATTTGATTGCGATAGACAACTCTCTGTCCAATAGTGTAAACCAAACAACATGGCCGCACTGTGGCCTTCCATAGCAAGTAAAAGCCATACCATGTGATGACCTATAAAAGTCCGTCTGATAAGCCAATAAAAAACCAATGATTTATACTTAGTCTAACACAACAAACATAATAAAATTGTGGTAGACATCACAAACGACCATTACTGAACTATAGGCTACTGACATAAAGAATGTGACGATGTTTAACAATACAATATCATTATTAAAAAAGTGTGTTCATATTGATCCTGTATTATGCCGAAGTACAGTCATATTTGGTTGATGAGGTTAGCTGTATTTGCTCCATATTGATCATGTATTATGCCCAAGTACAGTCATATTTGGTTGATGAGGTTAGCTGTATTTGCTCCATATTAATCCTGTATTATGCCCAAGAACAGTCATATTTGGTTGATGCGGTTAGCTGTATTTGCTCCATATTGATCCTGTATTATGCCAAAGTACAGTCATATTTGGTTGATGATGTTAGCTGTATTTGCTCGTGGCGTAGTCAATGACCAATACAGCTTATCATGACCCAATACGACTGTACGAGGACATAATACAGGATCAATATAACAACACCCATTTCATGACACCTGTATGTGACAGTGGCGAATCCAGGATAAGGTGTAGTGGGCGTTAACCGTTCAGACAGTCACGAAACATGCACATTAACCGTTCAGACAGTCACAAAACAGGCCCATTAACCGTTCAGTCAGTCATAAAACAGGCACATTAACCGTTCAGACAGTCACGAAATAGGCACATTAACCGTCAGTCAGTCTTGAAAAGACACATAAACCGTGCAGACACGAAACAGACACATCAATCGTTCAAACAGTCACGAAACAGACACATTTTAAAGTCGTTCAGGCAATCACGAAACAGACACATTAACAGTTCAGACACGAAACAGACACATTAACCGTTCAGACACGAAACAGACACACTAACAGTTCAGACAGTCACGAAACAGGTGCATTAACCGTTCAGACAGTTATTAAACAGACACATAAACCTTCAGACAGTCACGAAACGGACATATTAACCGTTCAGTCACGAAACAGACACATTAATCTTCAGACAGTCACGGAACAGGCACACTTACTGTTCAGACAGTCACGAAACAGAAACATTAAGCGTCCAGACAGTCAGGAAACATGCATCAACTCTCATAACAAGTTACATCTTACCTGTATAGTTGTTTTTGTCGATGTCATAAGCAGCAGAAATGTACCAACCAAATGAAAACAAATCAGCACTTATGTCTTTAGCTTGTATCTTCTGTGTGAATGTAAGTTCTGTAGGACCTCCATGATATATATAGACCGAACCTTTACCGTTGTCCTCGTACGGTGAACTGATGGCAACATCTTCAAGAAAAATTGATACTGTTAAAGAATATGCAAGATATTTTGATAGAAAAGAGTAAAAGAGATATTATGCAGGGAGACGGACTTATATAAGGATAAGGACAATCTTGAGCCCGAATTCCTTTCTGTGTTACTGCTATCATACTTTGTAGGTAATATTTTTTGCAAATAAAATATGTTTAAATTAAGCTATAAAGGTAGATCGGGTGTCTTCCGCCATCTTAAATTGTAAAATGGCAGGAAACAATCCGTCTAGATCTTAAATGAAATGGGCAAATTTTGAGAGAAGAATTTAGTGCATTTGTAAAACTTTTCAAAAATATGAAGAAAATAATATTTTTTTGATTTTTTTACAACATGGACTTGCCATTTAAGGGGAGAAAACTCAGATAAACTTATTTTTATAAAGGAATGTGTTATGAATTTACCTATTTTGTTTTGTAGCAAAAAAAAAACGAGTCCCGTGAACCCAATTTTTTTTTTTTTTTCTGAAAGCACATTATAAGAGCTATCTTCTCATTTTTTATCTTTAAACTCTATAGTTTAGTTTTCTTTTCAAAATAGGAGTTTCTATGCATAATCTATAAGAAATCTGACAATTTTGCACAACCAGTTGCATGAAAAGAAGCCTAGTGACCCATAAGTTTTTCTATATTTTTGAAAAGAGCATGATATAACCTAAATTTTGGCAAATAATCAAAAAAATCTATAGATTTTAATTAGCTTGCATTTACATAAATTAACGTGACACAAGGTGCGAGCACGAGGTACGGATCTTCTTAATTCTAACTGATAAACAAATTTATAATCATATCTAGTAGTTTGCGTCAAAGCTAGGAACATGATGACATTGGTAATACTCGTGGACTTGTTGGATTTGTGGCAGTTCGGTCATATTCGTGAACGTGTTGGGTATATGGCAGTTCGGTTATAATCGTGGACTTGTTGGATCTGTGGCAGTGTTCGGTAATACTCGTGGACTTGTTGAATATGTCGCAGTTCGGTAATACTCGTGGACTTGTACGACATGTGGCAGTTCGGTAATACTCCTTTGTTGGGTCTGTGGCAATGTTCGGTAATATTCCTGGACTTGTTGGATCTGTGGCAATGTTCGGTAATACTCGTGGACTTGGTGGATCTGTTGCAGTTCGGTAACACTCGTTGACTTGTTGGATCTGTGCCAGTTCGGTAATACTCGTAAACTTGTTGGATTTGTGGCAGTTCGGTAATACTCATGTACTTGTTGGATTTGTGGCAGTTCGGTGATAATCGTAGACTTGTTGGATCTGTGGCAGTGTTCGGTAGTAATCGTGGAGTTGTTGGATCTGAGGCAATTTTTGGTAATAATCATGTACTTGTTGGATCTGTGGCAGTGTTTGATATTAATCGTGGGCTTGTTTGATCTGTGTTAGTGTTCGGTAACACTCTTGGACTTAATGGATCTGTGGCAGTGTTCGGTAGTCCTCTTGGACTCGTTGGATATGTGGCAGTGTTCGGTAATACTCTAGGACTTGTTGGATCTAAGGCAGTGTTCGGTTGTACTCGTGGACTTATTAGATCTGTGGCAGTGTTCGGTAATAATCGTGGACTTGTTGGATCTATGACAGTGTTCGGTAATAATCGTGGACTTGTTGGATATATGACAGTGTTCGGTGATACTCGTGGACTTGTTGGATTTGTGGCAGTGTTGAAATGTCTTTAGTCAGTTGAGAAAACTGATAAACTGTTATGGTTACCTTATCTCTAATAAACTGTTAAACTTCAGAAAAGATACCTATTTTCATGAAACCACCATAATGAACACCTCAACGCTTATATATACATGTACGTACAGTCATAGACTAAAGGAGAATTCTTGGCCATACATTAACGTATACGTCATAGTCTATTGGAGATAACCGCAACTACACCAGATGCGCACCTCAACAATGAATGTCTCTTCGGTGATGCTCGTGGCAAAATATTTGAACAACCAAAATTTTTACAAATGTTGAAGACATGTACGTATACACTATAGTCTACTAAAGATAACTTGGACAAACATATACATGTACGACATGGGCCACTGAAGATAATCTGGGCATAAATGTACAAATACGTCATGTTGAACAGATTAGTGAATATAACCTGGGCAAACCTGTACAAATACACCATACGATAGTGGAGATAACCTGGATCTACATGTAAGTATACGCTATAGGCTAGTGAAGATAACCTAGCAGTCATACATGTAAGTATACGCTATAGGCCAATGGAGATAACTTAGACAAACATGTAAGTATACGCCAAATGCTAGTGAAGATAACCTAGCAGCCAAACATGTAAGTATACGCCATAGGCTAATGAAGATAACCTAGCAGCCAAACATGTAAGTATACGCCATAGGCTAATGAAATAACCTAGCAGCCAAACATGTAAGTATACGCTATAGGATAGTGAAGATAAATTGGGAAAACATGTACGTAAACGCCATAGGCTAGTGAAGAAAACCTGAGCATAAATGTACGAATACGGCATATGCTAGTGAAGATAACTAAGACTTGCATGTACGAATACGCCATATAACTTGTAGGTGTACAAAATACAATAACACTTTTAGATATTTGGATGATAGGTTGGCTCTCATATAATGACGACTTCAGTATGTACACTAAAGAGATTTATCTTGCTGAACTTACTTTAAATAAAGGTAATACTAACAATGAACACTACCCTTGGATCTTGATGTCTATATCTCTAACGGGAAGCTTAGTACTAAAACTTACGATTAAAGAGATGATTTAGCATTTTCTATTGTTAATCATGCGTTTTAGATGGTGACGTTCCATTGGATGATGTTTATAAATCTCAACTTGTTTGTGTATGTAACAACGTATTTGTTATTTACGACATCTCTGTATTACTGAAACTAATTACACCAGGGTTTTCGACATCACAAATTTGACTGTCAAAACGTTTCCTTAATTTTATCATCGCTAAAAGGGCATCAGTCGTAAATATAAATCAACGTGCAGCAATCTTATACGTTCAGGTATTTCACATCCCATCATTTAAGGTAATATTCTATAAAAAGCACTAAAATGTCGTCATTCACCTCAAAAGCTAACCAAACCTTTAAACATGCAGACTTATTCACAATGGGATATAGTTACGATACTGTTGTCGGGTCATTAAAGATGGCATTTATTAGAATTGATATTGATTCATTCATAAGGTCCTTGCTTCGGAAATAAATACATGTATTCTCAAACCAGTTGTTGGCATGATACGGGTTATGTTCTTCTCGTATAATTTATGATGGCATAATTATAAACGCCTAACGGGATTTTGTTGATTTTCATATGACGAAGACATAATCTTTAAAACAGTTTTATTGAAGTCTGGAGCTGGCATGTCAGTAACTGCTAGTAGTCCTTTGTTGTCCCCAGCGTAACGCGTTGCGGGGGAAATGGAAATACCGGGCGTCCGTGCGTCCGTCCATCTTTCCGTCCGTCCGTCCGTCCAATTTTTGTTTCAACACTCTAAATTAAGTTTTCCTCGTAGAAATATTATGAAACTAATACATAATGCTAAGAGCCAAAACTTGCAGACAGAGCTCGAATCTGGGCAGTGATTCACTTACCGTTCAAGAGTTATGCCCTTTATAACTTGCAAAATTGCTATTTTTTTTGTTTCCGCACTCTTAAAGGCGAAAGATACACAAGGGACATTCAAACTCATAAGTCGAAAATAAACTGACAAAAAAGAAAAATACCAACAGACAAACAGACAAACAACAGTGCACAAAACACAATATAGAAAACTAAAGACTGAGCAACACGAACCCCACCAAAAACTGGGGTGATCTCAGGTGCTCCGGAAGGGTAAGCAGGCCCTGCTCCACATGTGGCACCCGTGACAGAGTTTGAGTTTGGGCAGTGAGTCATTTATTATTCTAGAGTTATGCCCCTTTATAACTTGGAAAATTGCAATTTATTTCGTTTCCACACTCTAACTTAAGCAACTACAACACGCAGACAGAGTTCGAATTTTGGCAGAGATTTGTGCCCCTTTTTAACTTGGAAAATTGTAAAGCTTGAGCGGGGGCATTCATGTCCGCAGAAACATTCTTATTTTATTTAAACTGTTTTGCCCCGAGCATCACTTAATAGACAGTAATCTTTACTAACCTATGCTGTATACTTGGAATAGAGAATGGAAACGGAGAATGTGTCGAAGAGACAACAACGTTACCCCGACCAAAAAGCAGAAAACAGCCAAAGGCCACCAATGGGTCTTAAATGCAGCGAGAAAATTCCTCAACCGGAGGAGGGCTTCATCTGGACCCTAAACCATAATGTATACTAGTTCAGAGAAATAAAGGCCACGCTAAACTCTGAAACATACAAATCAACCAAAGATAGAGGTTTCTTACTTGGGACATGCGCAAAAATGTTTTGTGAGATCTCAACTATCCCCCTATACATATGGATAATGTTGAACAAACAAGCATACAGCAAAACGCACAGGCAGTTTGAAAGAAGTCCGATGTTAGAATAGATAACAGAAGAAACTTAGCAAAATGACAATGATAAACATAAATTAATAAAAGAACAGAGTTTCAATGTCCCCCGCGTTGCACACATTTTATAGACTGCTAAAATAGATCTTTGATTATCTTGTTAAAGAATATAAATTACATTTCAAACAGAACTTCAATGGCATTATTTATAAAAATCTGGCAAGATTTGTACCCGTAAGAGCGCTAACGAGGCCAATTTCCATAAATTTAATAGTTCCAAGGGGCATAACTCTTTTAAAAAAGTCGATCGGCCACCATTATTGAACTTGTCCGAGATATTGCTGATATTTACCTAAAGTATAAGTTTTATAAAAATCTGGCAAGAATTGTACCCGTGAGAGCGCTAACGAGGCAATTTTCCATAAATTTAATTTTTCCAAGTGGCATAACTTTTAAAAAAAAGTCGATCGGCCACCATTATAGCACTTGTTCGAGATATTGCTGATATTTACCTATAGTATAAGTTTTATTAAAATCTGGCAAGAATTGTACCCGTGAGAGCGCTTACGAGGCCATTTTCCACAAATTTAATATTTCCAAGGGGCATAACTCTTTAAAAAAAAGTCGATCGGCCACCATTAAAGAATTTGTCCGAGATATTGCTGATATTAACTAATAGTATAAGTTTTATAAAAATCTGGCAAGAATTGTACCTGCGAGAGCACTAACAATACCGGACGGAAAAACGGACGGACGGAAAGACGGACGCAAGAAAAGACGGATGGACGGGAGGACAGAAAGACGGACTGAAGGATGGAAGGACGGTCAAGGGTAACATTTGATGCTCCAATTGCCTACGGCGGGACATAAAAATCAAAACTTGTACAAACGTTAACGTTGGACACAAACATGAACACCATAGGCTACTTGAAATAATCTGGGCATAAATGTACGAATATGCCATAGGCTAGTGAAGATAACTTGGGTAAATATGACGTTAAAGACATAGACTATTTGAAATAACCTGGGCATAAATGTACGAATATGCCATAGGCTAGTGAAGATAACTTGGGTAAATATGAGGTTAAAGACATAGACTATTTGAGATAACCTGGGCATGAATGTACGAATATGCCATAGGCTAGTGAAGATAACTTGGGTAAATATGACGTTAAAGACATAGACTATTTGAGATAACCTGGGCATAAATGTACGAATATGCCATAGGCTAGTGAAGATAACTTGGGTAAATATGACGTTAAAGACAAAGACTATTTGAGATAACCTGGGCATAAATGTACAAATATGCCATAGGCTAGTGAAGATAACTTGGGTAAATATGAGGTTAAAGACATAGACTATTTGAGATAACCTGGGCATAAATGTACAAATATGGCATAGGCTAGTGAAGATAACTTGGGTAAATATGACGTTAAAGACATAGACTATTTGAGATAACCTGGTCATAAATATGCTTTTATTTCCCGTGTCTGAGGGAGATATGAAGATTTGTTCACCCAAGAAAATACATATTTCCCAGAGGGTCGTGCCCGAGGGAAATATGACTTTTCGAGGGTGAAAAATCTTCATATCTCCCTAAGCCAAGGGAAATGAATGTTTTATTCCACTGCCATTACTTTGTTTACTCTAAGTAAGTGAGCATAAAACATTAATTCACATACATTTTTATTAACCGCTTGTTTTCATATCTAAACACGACATAATTTAAAATATTGATAAACAGTACTGATCAAAAGATAATATCTATTATTTATGTTTGGATTTTACGTCTGAAATAATTTGGAACACGAAAGTGACTTTTCTATCGCAATTTAAAAACGTTCAAAACGTTATTTACATAAACCGCGCGTAACGTCGCACAGGCAAGTCCCGATGTTCAGAGTGGAATATGATACTCAGAGGGGAATATGAAGTTTTGTTCAGTGTCACGTGGAATGGTCTCAACCAATCAAACATTGATTAAGCTATCAAATTTAACATACAGTGGAATAATGTACGAAAATGACATACGATATGACGTTAAAGACATAGACTATTTGAGATAACCTGGGCATAAATGTACAAATATGCCATAGGCTTGTGAAGATAACTTGGGTAAATATGACGTAAAAGACATAGGCTATTTGAGATAACCTGGGCATAAATGTACAAATATGCCATAGGCTAGTGAAGATAACTTGGGTAAATATGACGTTAAAGACATAGACTATTTGAGATAACCTGGGCATAAATGTACGAATATGCCATGGGCTAGTGAAGATAACTTGGGTAAATATGACGTTAAAGACATAGACTATTTGAGATAACCTGGGCATAAATGTACAAATATGGCATAGGCTAGTGAACATGTACGTCTACATGACAGGCAATATTAAGCGTAAACCATATCGCATTGACACTATTGGTGGAAAGAATTTATTCTTTGAAATATTAACCGTGACCCACATTTCATTAACACAGCTAGCAGAAAGAAGATATTCTTTGAAATTTTAACGATAACCCACATCTGCTTGTTTATGCGGGAAGTCAATCTTTATACCATTTCAATCAATATGCAATGGTAAAAGATCGAAAAAGGGAGGACAATGAAAGGAGGATCCCTGTTAAATTATGTTTATTTTAAGTAGTGCCCTTGTTAACAAGGCGGTGAAGTCAACATCAGTATTTGTATGGCCGAAAAGCTCCCAGTCAGACGAACGATAGTTTTTTTTTATATTGACAATGTAGGGTATATTTTTCAAAACTCGTAAACCAGAACATTTTTATTGCTTGCCCTCAATTCTTCATTTATGCCTCATTTAAAGACAAAAATATATCTTTCGATCAGTGTAAAGTACGAGAAGGTTCAATCAACAGTTTATGAAAAACTATCCCTAGTAATTTCTTATGAAGACACAAATGGTGTCTGAATATTATTAGTTAAACAGTGTGCTAGTGACCTAATACTATATGTATATGGGGTCAGTAAATTCCATATGGGGTGAGAGCGAATTACACTGTGTAACGAATTTATCTTACCGACTATCTTAACATGTGGCATTCAAACTAACCGCCTAATCAAGTCGTTATATTCCGACTCACTGTCGATCGACAGGACACTGAGTCATTCGAGTTACATTTAAACTAGTGGCCTATCAAAGTGATAACGTTTTCAATATTAAGAACCTACTTCCATATTGGTCTATACAAAAACAAATGGCAACAGTAACCACTCGTTAGCTTTAATATGTTTTCTGCATTTATTTTCGGTCGTTCATCATCAATTTCTTCATTTGTTGTTTGGACGAAACGTTTCAGATTTTTCTTCAACGTCATGTTGTTTTACAAAGGTACGTAACACTGCTACTAACCCAATATTAATATAAAACACGCCCACTAACCCCATATTAAATGTACAGGGTCTCGACATGTTTGATTTTATTCAATGATATTCCTTCAAATGTATAGGCGGTAAGATAAATACATTTATCTTACCTCCTTTACATTTCTAGGAATAGGATTGGTTAAAAGCAACCGCGTGGAGACCGTGTATATTCCATATTGGGTTAGTAGGCGGGGCTTATTTCAATACACGGTTAGTTGTGGTGTTACGTCCCTTTATAAAAACAACACGGTGTTGAGGAAAAATGTTAAAGGATGATGAACGATTGAAATAAATTCATAAAACACATTTAAAGCTGACAAGTTGTTATTGTTGGCATGTGTTTGTGTATTGAAGACTTAATCACTTTGATAGGCCACTAGTCTAAATACCACATGTTAAGATAGTCGGTAAGATAAATTCGTTACATAGTGTGCTAGTGACCTAATACGATAGCTTCGCTCTCATCCCATATGAAATTTACTGACCCCATATATATCGTATTAGGTCACTAGCACACTATTTAACTAATAATATTAAACAGATCTCGTCTCGCACCTGTGGAATATGGTACAAACAAGGTATTTAGCACTAAACTGAAAGGAAAACAAAACATATTTCCAATAATCAAAGTTAAAGTATGTTTTCGAAACGCCGCAGTGCTGTATCCCTATTCTGACATACTATCTCGTATATATTTGTTCCCTTGCTTATCTGCGGGTAAACTACAGTGCTGTGCCAACTCGTCCCCATTCTGACATACGTACCCTTATATCATTTTTTTTTCTCTGATACAACAAGTACAGTACCGTCCACATTTTGACATACGTGCCTTTATATCCATCCTTGATTATTTTTTTGATATATAGCATTGCTGTACCAAACTGTCCCCATTCTTATATACGTACCATTATACCCATCCTTATTTATATCTCCGATACACTGCAGTGCTGTACCAAATCGTCCCCATTCTGAATGTCCTTGTAATTCTTTTCGACTTATTCTCAGAAGAACATTTTCCTGTTAAAAATTGAATATAATTGTATGAGTCAGCTATATTTAACCAAAGTCAAGTATACATGATGTATTTTCTGTGATTGCAACCATCAGGATTCGGAGCATAACGTGAAGAAAAACATTGAAATCCATATGATAAAAAATTCCAAAATTCCAGGAATATTCCTGTAGATTGAATAGCCTACTTATGCCCAATTGACACCAAATGTATTCATTCTAGGAATATTGATGTAGATTTAATAGCCTACTAATAAAGAATTGATATCAAATTATATGATTTAAAGAATATTTATGTAGATTGAATAGCCTACTTACACAACAATTGATGTCAAATTATATGATTCAAAGAATATTGATGAAGATTGAATAGCCTACTTACAAACAATTGATTTCAAAGTCTATGATACCAATAATATTGACGTAGATTGAATATCCTACTAACAAACAATTGATATCAAATTAAATGATTGAAAGAATATTGATGTAGATTGAATAGCCTACTTACAAACAATTGATAAAGTATATGATTCCAGGTATATTAATGAAGATTGAAAAGCCTACTTACAAACAATTGATGCCAAAGTCTATGATTCAAAGAATATTGATGAAGGTTGAAAAGCCTACTTACAAACAATTGATATCAAAGTCTATGATTCAAAGAATATTGATGTAGATTGAATAGCCTACTTATAAATACTTGATATTAAAGTCTATGATACAAGGAATATTGATGTAGATTGAATAGCCTACTTATAAATACTTGATATTAAAGTCTATGATACAAGGAATATTGATGTAGATTGAATAGCCTACTTATAAATACTTGATATTAAAGTCTATGATACAAGGAATATTGATGTAGATTCAATAGCCTACTTATAAATACTTGATATTAAAGTCTATGATACAAGGAATATTGATGTAGATTGAATAGCCTACTTATAAATACTTGATATTAAAGTCTATGATACAAGGAATATTGATGTAGATTGAATAGCCTACTTACAAACAATTGATATCAAAGTCTATGATTCAAAGACTATTGATGAAGATTGATTAGCCTACTTATAAATATTTAATATCAAAGCCCATGATACCAGTAATATTGATGTAAATTGGTTTTCCTACTTCATCTAAGCTTAGTTGCTAGCATGTCAACTTAACTATGACACATTCTAAACTAATTTCTGTTTGTTTTTTATAGTGATTAAGATTATAACACAATGTTGACTGCTGTACCCCTATTTTTGAAATTTGTATGCCCCACCTAGGGGCATTATGTTTTTCGGTCTGTGCGTCCGTTCGTTCGTCCGTCCGTCCGTTCGTCCGTCTGTCCCGCTTCAGGTTAAAGTTTTTGGTCGCTTCAGGTTAGAGTTTTTGGTCAAGGTAGTTTTTGATGAAGTTTAAGTCCAATCAACTTGAAACATAACACACATGTTCCCTATGATATGATCTTTCTAATTTAATGCCAAATTAGAGTTTTGACCCCAGATTCACGGTCCACTGAACATAGAAAATGATAGTGAGAGTAGGGCATCCGTGTACTATGGACACATTCTTGTTACCTATTATATCTGTTTGTTTTGTTCACACATTATTGTCATATAATGGAATTTTATGCGATTGTCATACAAGTGAGAGGTTTAGCTAGCTATACAACCAGGTTTAATCTACCATTTTGTACATAAGGAAACGACTGTGCCAAGTATTGGATATGACAGTTTTTTTCCATTCGTTTGATGTGTTTGAGCTTTTGATTTTGCCATTTGATGAGGGACTTTCCCTTTTGGATTTTTCTTGGAGTTCGGTATTTTTGTAATTTTACTTTTTTCTGTGTTTTAACAAAGGTTATCGGCGAAATAAAAACATTTATCTTAGCAAAGTTGCAAACGGATTGTCACATTCAAGACAAGATTTTTTTCTTAATCCATGATGCATTTTAATAAAGTTAGTAGCATACATGAAGTGATTTTTTGTTGTTGGTTTTTTTCTTGTTGCAAATATGCTAATAAGACTCTTCAACTACCGCTTGCGGAAAATAACAAGAGATAATATACCTGTCCAATTTTCTGACCATAATCTTTCTTGCGTTAGGTCGCGTATCATTTCATTGACAAAACGTCAATTAGCAAGGTGAAATGTGCATGAGGGACACATAGATGATAAATAAGCTACATATAAGGATATTTTGGTGCAAAATGTCAAAGACAATATTATACGAAACACAAAAAAATATTAGTAATTATTTGACTTAGGTACGTAAGAAAAAAAAAATTTGTCAAATATTGCTGAACACAGCTTAAACCTTTATAATCCATTCAGTTGTGTATCAATATATACATATATATGTCAAAACAAATAGTGCAAGTTTTGCTCTTATAAAATAAACGGAATCTAATACACTGTTATACTGTTATACTGTAGAGGTACTCGCACTAACATATCCCCATATTGAGGAGGTACTTACATCTGTGTCACTATAGTATATATGTACTACTCCTGAATCTAATACATTGTTATACTATAGAGGTGCTCGCACTCAAATATACCCATATTGAGGAGGTACTTCCATCTTTGTCACCATAGTATATATGTTCTACTTCTGAAACTTATATATTGTTATACTATAGAGGTGCTCGCACTTACATATCGCCATATTGAGGAAGTACTTACGTCTTTGTCACCATAGTATATATGTACTACTCCTGAATCTAATACACTGTTATACTGTAGAGGTGCTCTCACTAACATATCCTCATATTGAGGAGGTACTTACATTTTTGTCACCATAATATATATGTACTACTTCTGAAACTTATATATTGTTATACTATAGAGGTGCTCGCACTTACATATCGCCATATTGAGGAGGTACTTACGTCTTTGTCACCATAGTATATATGTACTACTCCTGAATCTAATACATTGTTATACTGTAGAGGTGCTCGCACTAACATATCCCCATATTGAGGAGGTACTTACATCTGTGTTACCATAGTATATATGTACTACTCCTGAATCTAATACATTGTTATACTGTAGAGGTGCTCGCACTAACATATCCCCATATTGAGGAGGTACTTACATCTGTGTCACCATAGTATATATGTACTACTTCTGAAACTTATACATTGTTATACTGTAGAGGTGCTCGCACTTACATATCCCAATATTGAGGAGGTACTTACATCTGTGTTACCATAGTATATATGTACTACTTCTGAAACTTAAACATTGATTTACCGTAGAGTGCTCACACTAACAAATCCCCATATTGAGGAGGTACTTACATCTTTGTCACCATAGTATATATGTTCTACTTCTGAAACTTATATATTGTTATACTATAGAGGTGCTCGCACTTACATATCGCCATATTGAGGAAGTACTTACGTCTTTGTCACCATAGTATATATGTACTACTCCTGAATCTAATACATTGTTATACTGTAGAGGTGCTCTCACTAACATATCCTCATATTGAGGAGGTACTTACATTTTTGTCACCATAATATATATGTACTACTTCTGAAACTTATATATTGTTATACTATAGAGGTGCTCGCACTTACATATCGCCATATTGAGGAGGTACTTACGTCTTTGTCACCATAGTATATATGTACTACTCCTGAATCTAATACATTGTTATACTGTAGAGGTGCTCCTACTAGGAGGTCATCTAATCCATCACCATTTATATCATCAAAAGCAACAGAACTGCCAAATCCACTTCCGGACTATAAGATAAAGGAGCATAGGTTTAACATTTCTTAAAAAGTATAGGGTGTTTCACATCTCTATCCATACATATCATTTATAGGAAAACCAAAACTCATTTATAAATGTTCCAGCTATCAGATATACAATTGACAACTTAATTAGATGTTGGCGACATCAGTCATTCATAATAATTAGATAATAAGATAGGTGCTTAACTTGTATAGACAACGGAACAGAAGATGAATATCTATGACCCATTGATTTAAATATTTTTACTCATTGTTATATAATTTCCGTGATATAGGCCCTTTCACGGTCATTGCAGTCATATGGAATGAGGGGCATACTTTCATAATGGAGGTGAAAATGCTTTAAAAAACTTTTGCTACTTAAAGGTCTACAACTCATACGGAGTTCAGTATTTTTGTGATTTTACCTTTTACTCAACAAAGATAAATGCTAAAATCGTGAAAATCGAACTTGACCTTCATTTACTCACAGGAAACAACATATCTAAAAAGTAAAATTGCAAAAATACCGAACTCCAAGGGAAATTTAAAACGGGAAGTCCCTTATCAAATGGCAAAAATCAAAAGCTCAAACACATCAACGAATGGAAAACAACTGTCATATTCCTGACTTGGTACAGGCATTTCCTTATGTGGAAAATGGTTGATTAAACCTGGTTTTATAGCTAGCTAAACCTCTCACTTGTATGACAGTCATATAGAATTCCATTACATGTTGACAACAATGTGTGAGCAGAACAAACAGACATAATAGATAAAAATGTCAAAAATTGGGGTACAGCAGTCAACATTGTGTTATAATCTTAATCACTTTATAAAAAACAAATAACTACTTAAACAAAGAAAAACAAAATGGCAAATAGACACTCTAAAGACAAAATACATGAGCAAAAATAAAATATGTATAGGATGATAATGTAATTACCAAGATTTTGTCAAAGAGTTTTCAAGTTATTGCACAGACAACGCTCTAAGTATCACTTTTCGTTACTTAAAGGTCTACAACCACTTCAAACCAATAAAAGTCTGAAATGGCCTATATCTGTACTCGACTGTACTGATTTTTACTCGACCAGTCTGAATTGGACTGAAATTCACTCGATATTACTCGATCCCAATCTTAACCATACTCGACTATACTGATTTGTTCTTGACCCTTATCTATGCCATTAAATAAAGTCTGAACTATTACTTGACCAGTCTTAACCTATTCTCGACCTGTACTCGACCAATCCGCGACCAGCTCTCGATCTATTTTTTTCAGTCTGAATCCATATATAAAAATAAAAATAAAATTATAATTTGATGTGACGGCATGGTAATTACATTATCATCCTTTACGACGGACAAAACATAGCAAATCTGAAAGATATACCACCCTACTTGCCATATAGCATGTTCTGTGTTACAGACCTAGATAAAACCGGAACGGCATTACTTGACTAACGAAAGCTATATTTTCATACAGCGTAGTTGGTCGAATGGTCTAGGGCGCTGAACACAGTGCAGGCGGAGATGTCACAGAAGCAAGGGTTCAAATCCCGCTGAGGGAAGAACAAAAATCTGCGAACGCAAATTTACAGATCTAACCTTGTTGGGCTAAATTTGAGACAAATAATATATATATATATTATGGTGTTTGCCCTGTATAACTACGGGTTATCCGATGGACAATGTCTTTCTAAAGTCATCAAATGTTTAGACGTATATATATATATATATACATACAGGTCTAAATTGAAAACAACGTTCAAACCTATGATTGCGTTGGATAAAAACCGCAATTTTTATACGTGTGCATGCAAAACAAAGTTCTTGGTAGAGGGGTCTAAATACAGCACAAACAACATTTTTCAAAAGACCAAAAGTGAAAAAGTATGTTTTAACAAAACGCATTTGACTAGCAGGTCGAACAACGGATGTTCTTAAACCCTGCTGACTGTCATGGCGATTGCCAAATAAACGGATCACAGATGTAACAAAATGGATCTTAATTATCAATTTACTACCAAACAGAAAACAATATATATTGCCTAACAATGTAATTTTAACACACTATTTAGTATGTAAATATAAGAATGTTTAAAATATTTACAAAATGATGAAAATAAACGCAATATTTCGCTAGACTAACTAGCTTTATCAAGCGTGCATCTATCCAGGTGAAATCGGATGTAGATGATAAGAAACTTTTGCAGCTCAAGGTATATGTTGCACTTGAATTTAGCTGCCTTGAAAATAAGACATAATTTGGATGAAGTTCAAGATTTTTACAAAATTGGTAGTTGAAGTTAGCAACGTCCATTGGCCAATATTACGAGATAAAAAGGACGATGCTGTGTACTAAATTATTCTTTATCTTTCCTGTATCTTTTCTCATCTTTTTCGTTAAGACCATCAGGTTCTAAAGTGTGGAGTTGGTGGATCCAAAAATTTTCTCTTCTCCTTCTCGCCGTGGTGTCCCACTCGGTGTTGACTTCTATGATTTGGAAAGTAACATTATCAAAAGAATGTTTCGTTGAACGAAGATGTCTTGTGAGAGGACAGTTTTTGTTGGTTTTGTACCATGAACGATGGTTATTGAGCCGAATATTAAATTTGTCAATTGTTTCTCCCACATACTGAATGCCACAAGTGTCACATGTTAATATATAAATTGAGTTCTCCGTTTTACAGTTGGAATTTGAGTAGATGGTATAATTTTGTTTAGTAACGGAGCTGATGAAAGAACTGTTTGTATTGGAAGCTTTACAACACAAGCAGTTCCTTCGACCACATTGTTTGTAGCAACCGGGTGATGGAGTAGGCTGCTTTGCTAATACAGATGTCACTAATTTGTCACGGATGTTTTTAGGTCTTCTGAAGGCCATGACTGGTGGTGAGGAAAATACTTTTTTAAGATTAGAATCATTTTCTATAATTTTCCAATGCTTCTGAACAATGGAAGACACATTTTTAAAATCAGGATGGTAAGTGAGTACAAGGGGTGTTCTGTTAGCTGCTTTATTCTTATCTTTGTACTCTAGAAGTTCTTGACGACTAGTTTTGTTTGCTCTTTCGAAAGCGCTATCAATGATGTTGTTATTGTATCCTCGAACAACTAGATGTTTACGCAGTTGTCCAAGTCTAGCATTTTGCGTATTTTCAGTAGAGCATATTCTCTTGATTCGCAATGCCTGGCTGAATGGGATGCCACGGGAGCAGTGTTTAGGATGGCAACTTTTAGGAGAAAGGAATTGATGTTTGTCCGTTTGTTTGGTATGAAGGTCCGTTATAATGGTTCCGTTCTTGATGAAACTCGTAGTGTCGAGGAAGTTTATTTTCTCCATAGATGATTCATATGTAAATATATATAATATATATAATGTCTTAAAATAGCAACAATCAACATCCATTCTATTTAGGCGTGGATCAGTTTGTGAAAATAAACTGATACAGTTACTGAATTAAAATTATATAAATGTCTAAGAATATAACTTAAGGGGTAAATTCAGTAAATAAATATACGTCATCAGGGACCGCCCATTTGGGGGAGAGCTTTCTGTACAAAACTGAAGTCCTGTGCTCTTCTGATTTGTAGATAATGTTTGTAAGAAATATTTTTTGATAGATGGATCAAAACTAGAGTTAAAAAAAATCAAAAAATGAATGCTGAATATACTAAAATTTTTTACTACAGGGTTGAAAAGTAATGGGGGTCAGTAAAGGAATTAAGTGCGAATCTACAGTGTTTGTAAACAAGGCCATGTGAATGCCCAAAAATGCCGCATGACCCTATGTTTTTATTGTTGCAAAAGATAGGGCTACATTTGTACTTTCATGAATGATATATGAAAGCTTCCAATTTCGAAAGGTAAATCAGGTATAAATTTAATTCAAGACATAGATTAGCATTAAAGGTGAAATCGGATGCATCCTTGAGAGATGCACACGCCTTCTGAAGCTAGTTTATCTAGCGAAATATTGCGTATTTCTATTTAAAATCTAATAGAACTTTTTAACGTATCAATTAGCGTGTTTAAGTTTTATTCTTAGACATTTATATAATATACGCAATCATAGGTTTGAACGTTGTTTTCAATTTAGACTTGTTTATATTTATTCGTTTGGGCTTGTATTATATTTGCCTTTGGGTTTATATGATCCGTTCATCCTATTTTGACTCTTTCAAAATTCAAGAGTCTATCCTAAATTGAGGTAAATTATATGGCCTTCCAAATACCGTTTCGATTCCTAACATCACTGAAGAGACATTAATTGTCGAAATCCGGATATGGTGTACAAATTGTTGCACCTCATGTTTGCGGTATACCATCTTTTCCGCAAGTTTATTGTTTTCTGTTTGATAATAATTTAATAATAAGATCTATTTTATTACATCTTGTGATCCGTTTATTTGGCAATCGCCAATGGCAGTCAGCAGGGTTTAAGAACATCAGTTGTTCGACCTGCTAGTCAAATGCGTTTTGTTAAAATATACTTTTTCACTCATTTTGGTCTTTTGGAAAATGTTGTTTGTGCTGTATTTAGACCCCTCTACCAAGAAATTTGTTTTGCATGCACACGTATAAAAATTGCGGTTTTTATCCAACGCAATCATAGGTTTGAACGTTGTTTTCAATTTAGACTTGTTTATATTTTTTCGTTTGGGCTTGTATTATATTTGCCTTTGGGTTTATATGATCCGTTCATCCTATTTTGACTCTTTCAAAATTCAAGAGTCTATCCTAAATTGAGGTAAATTATATGGCCTTCCAAATACCGTTTCGATTCCTAACATCACTGAAGAGACATTAATTGTCGAAATCCGGATATGGTGTACAAATTTTTGCACCTCATGTTTGCGGTATACCATCTTTTCCGCAAGTTAATTTTTTTCTGTTTGATAATAATTTAATAATAAGATCTATTTTATTACATCTTGTGATCCGTTTATTTGGCAATCGCCAATGGCAGTCAGCAGGGTTTAAGAACATCAGTTGTTCGAC